TTCTAGTCTGACATTAAGTTCCTGATGAAAATCAAGCCATTTTGAATATGTTTAGAGGGATTTTGCACATGTTGTTTTTGATATTGTTCAATATCCACTCAATGAATTAGGATAAGTTATTATTCTAGACATTGATCAACTGATTATCCACTCTTTGGTGCTTATGCAACTATAGAACATTGCCAAAGGTGAGAGATTGTTCCCCATCCTAGTTCCAATAGAGCTGGTGGGGCGAGATACAATAAAAGTATTGAATGAATTAAATAAAGAATATCCTTTTTATAAAAGATATTGTATTATTAGGATATTCTTATAGTTTAGGCTAGCAAAAAATTTCATGATAGTTTTTATATAAATAACATTTCAATAAACATTAATAAAAAATTATTTAATATATTATTAATATTTATTATTCAAAGCAAACCAAATTTACCAAATTATTCATGACATACACACATACTTAGCATCTAGAGAATAAATGCTCGGCCCTCTTCATCTGCACGCAGTTTGACTTCATTTACAGTCCCTCCATTGCTAACCTTGGCTCTAGTATCATATGCCGCCACTCCTTCGTAAACACCATCAATGTAGTCCACAGTCCCTCGATCATAGCCTCCAAGGGCAGTATCTTTGCACTTATACGTGAAGGGGATCCGTATCTTAGCAGTTGAACATGTCACAGTCACTGAAGCCTGCTTAAAAACTAGATTTGTAAAATCCAAGGGTTTTGCAAACAAAAAAAAAACACTTACCATCTGGCCAGGTCCAATATCTTTCACAAGGTACCCAGTCTGAAATTGGACAGTTTCTTCAGTAGTCTCACCCCACTCATGCCCAAAGGTCTGCTCAGTACCAATCTCCACACCAATCTCAGCATCGCCAATGAAAGGAACGCCACATTTGAAGGTTGTGGTCACCTTTTGGCTGAAGGTGAAGGAGTTGGACCACGTACTACTCTTTGAAACTTTGTTCTCAAGGGTGACCACCACGTTCATGTCCATCATGTTGCTTGAATTGTTTGTCGCAGAGCCACGACCAACCCGCTGGAGTTTCTGGTCACTAGTGGTGGCCAGATTCATGAGGTACTTGACATTGAAGATGCTCCTCTTCTCTGTTACATCACTGACTATAAGGCGTGCTTCAGAGTCATTGGGGGAACCGGTGCCAGCATTGAGGCAGCTCTCCCAATAGTCAGTTAGCCTCTTGCAGAAGAGTCCATTGAACTTTTCAAACATTTGTTCAAACATTTGAGTCATGTGAGTTGCTCACTACATTTTATCACCTATAATTTCTAACATCAATATCAGAAAACAAAGCCTTGAGCACCTGAAGAAGAAAAAAAAAGCTCACTCCTTCGGAAAAACATTGCCGAACGTACAAGAAAGCGAGAGCAAGCTACACATTGCAACCTGTACATCAGTAGAGTGGAGAAAACATATGCCAACCTTTACAGCAATGAACAAAACCCATTGATCAACTGCTTTACAGCCTTTTGCGATCACAACTTGAGCATCTCCAGCATTTGCAGCAACCAAGAACCCAATTTGACAATCAAAACTCAAACCTTTGGAGATATAAACCTTTGGGAGCTTTTTACATACCATTATTAGTTTGTATTTATACAAGTGTTTAAAGAAAATAGAACAGGTTATAAGTTGATTCACCAAGAATCTGGTGGTATAATTGAGATTGAAAATCTTATGAAATTAATCTCAAAATTACAATAGTGTTATTTATGCAAATGAGCATTAAATTATTATAGGTGATATAATGTATGTTTTCCATTATAGAAAATACTGTTCACCTTATTATGATAAGCTATTTTGAGATTCTTGAGGAAATCCCACAATGGGAATTAAATTAATTTAGATAAAGGCTTCCAAGATGCTGAAGAAGATGAAGTGTTTGATATAGATAAGAAACCCACGGCTTCTTACTAAAAGAAATATTATATTTATAAAAAATATGGTTATAATGTTAGAATGGTGTTAAATTACATAGGAATAACATTATGGTGTTCATGACACTTTATATCTTGTAAATATAGATCTAAATAGTATTTATAAAACATAAGGCATGATGATGTATTAGGGCATGATGTTATGCATCAAACTAGGATAATAGGGGTATGATATTATGTATTGGTCTAAGAGAATAGGATAAGAAAGAGCTTTACAATCACACTAGCCAATTGTATCACATTTTATTTCTCTTCCTTTAAGTTAACTGGAAAAGGGCAAATTACATTTCTCTCCCTTTATGTCAACTAAAAAAGGGGCAATTACTTAATGAGAGAGCTTTTATGACTATTTTATCCTCATTTATTTTTAAGGTTTAATCCAACTGGAAAAGGGTAATTATTTGATGAGAGAACATTTAGTAACTATTTTATCCCTATTTATCTCCTAAAGTTCTAAAGATTTACAATAAAAATATAATCAAATCTCATCCCATGATCACATACATTACACAAATGTTTTACATCTTAAGTCAACTAACATTTTGATGAATAGAGCAGGAATATTGATGTAGTAAAGGTGGCAAATTTAAATGACCATTATTAAATAGATATATTGCATAAGAAAATATATAAGGCAAAAATGTTTCCAACATTGGTTAAATGTGAAAATTATAACAAATCATTTTATAAAAGTGGTGGAAGATAAAAGAAAAAGAAATTTGATTTATATTTAATTTTAATTCAAATATTAAATCATAGAGAAAAGATAGTGGTAAAAATTAAAGTGATAATTATGTTCAACAAGAAACACATGGAAGTTTCTACTTTACGTTTATCTAACTAAGTACAGATGTTAAGCTTAATTTACTAACACTTGAATAAGAGGGGTTGAAAATAGAACTAGCAATACTAATCTTCTGCTATTGTGGTAGTAAGGAAAGAATATTCAAAATAACTTTCCGATAGGTAACTTTTGATATAAAGTATAGAGGGGTGGTTCTATATATATATATATACATTTCAATTTTGAATATGACATTTTTTGCTAAAAAAAACTCATATTATATAATCCCACCCAAATAAGCTGTATGCTGAAAGCAATATGAGTTGTTTACAAATAAAACAATATTGTTTGTCTCATAATAAAATATATAACATTTTTAATTTATATCAATTCACTTGGGTGTTGTGTTTTTTTTCATCTTTTTTTAAGCATTTTATTGTTGTTGAGACCTTTGCTAATTCTATAGGTAGTTTAAGGAATAATGTCTATGTTGTTTACAGGTGAACTAAACAATTGAATTCACTACTCTCTATTTATTTCTATAATGGCAAATCTCCTTATAATTGTAATATATAATATTTGCTCAATGACATAGAGTAGTGGCTTTTACTCTTGGTGGTTAACCATTGTAACATAGTTATTGTTGAGGAGGTTGTGGTGGTCTTCTTTGAAGCAAATACACTTTTAATATATCAAAATCTATAATTAAATTTACTAAGTTCTCCTCAAATATTAATTATGAGTGTCTTGCTATTAATGAAAGAGCTAGTAATGTTAGCATATGTCACTTTTGTTATCCCAAATACATATGTATATATAATTTTAATTTTGTAAAGTAAAAATTAACTAATTTAACTCCTTTAAACTGTTGACTATGACCCCAAAGGCATCCCCCATACTTGGCAATGCACCTAAATTAGCCCTTCCAACCAAGGGTCCATAATAACTAAGATTGAGTGTTCCTATATCATTCACCACATCCTTGATGCCATTTGCACTAAAGTGTTCAAATTAGATATATCAAACTTTCGCATTAAACACTTTAATTGTGTATTATGACTTGGGCATCCTTCACGTAACGATATGCCCAAGCCAGCCTCCTCACTGAAAGTTTATGACCACTGAAAAATAAATGTCCTTATATTCTAAACCATCACCATGCTTTAGTAGTTGGGATTCAAACTCAAGCACTAGAGGGTTGGGATTTAAACCCAACTTTTATATATGCATCTACGGACAACATCACCTAAAATGCTTAGTGTGACTCCCCATGCTAGTGCACCAATTTATAACATGTGTTATAGATCATAATTTGGGACATTGGTGCACTAACTTTTAGTTGTCTTTACATTCACTTTATTGATTTTGAATTGACTTTAACACTAAAATATCTAAAATATATCATAGTTTAGGATGTAGGTGCACTAATTTATATCCAATACACATTATGGATCATAGCTTAGAAACTTAATTCCTTTAAGCTTTTAAGTTTTTTCACTTGACAAATTAGTTGATCAACATATGATTATGCATGGACTCTTCCTCATGGCTTTTTAAGTCAACCCTTTCAACTAGGGTTTTTGTTCTTTTGATTTGCCAATCCCACTTAACAAATCACTTAACTAGTGTAATATGGTTTTTTGTATGAATGCATTTGTTTAATTTTAAATGCATACCAATCCTTCATTCTATAGCACAAACACGTTCACATTCACAACAGGCTCAATAAGTTTGGCTCCAAATACATATATACTAGAAGAGTACTAGGTTCATAAGTAGCATATACATGATCTCTAGCATTTGGCTATTAAGCTTTGCTAGCACTTTGATCATGTAAGCATGATTCTAGGTATAAACATTTTTCTCTATAGTGGCATTGATCTAGTCTATATTAGTAGTTCCCTCTCTACCAATAATGCAGACAGGTTGCTCTCTCTTCTTCTCAGCTATCATGACGTCTTTGCAGCTTCTAGGCATCCCCATGGATGTCATCCACCATTAAAAGTAAGTTGGTAGACTGAGCCAAGCCAATCTGTCATTCACTTTTCTTTTGGGAATCAAGGAGGAATTTCAAAAGTTGCTGGCTGCCAACTTTATCTTCCTTATCCAGACAGCAAGTGAGTAACATGGTTCCAGTCATCAAGCCAAATGGGAAGATCAAGATCTGTGTGGATTTCTGCAGTCTCAATGATGCCACATTCAAAGACTGGTTTTAGACATCATTTCTCAAGGAGATTATTGATGAGATTCTTACTACTCCTTCGTAGATGGTTTCTTTGGCTACAATCACATTTTCATTCATCTACCAAATCAGGAGAAGATAGCTTTCTGAACACTATGGGGCATTTACACCTACAACATCCTTCCATTTGGCTTGTGCAACCTATGAGCTACTTTCTAGAGGTTCATCACTTTTGCTTTTCATACTCTCATTGGTGTCTGTTTGCCGGTTTATGTTGAAGACTTGTGCTCAGCTTCTACCATTTTTGGAGATAAAGACTCGTGATTTTTGCTTGCTGGGAGGAACACTTTACCAGAGAACAACTCATGGTCCACTAGTGTACTGCTTGATAGAGGCTGAGGTTCCAAAAACGCTTGAAGCCTTTCATTCTTATAGTGGTCATTTTGTGGGATCAACAATGGGCAAACCATTCTTTATAGTGGTTTCTACTGGCCTACAATCTTCAAAGACATGAAGATGCACATCTTGCCAACAGTTTAAATCATATTCAGGAGGCCACGAGGTTCTTTTTCGTTTTAATGCAAGGCCGGGATATTGTTTCCTGGAATGCTATCTTTTCTGCATATGCGCACAATGGGTATCTGGAAGATGCCAAACAAATTTTTGATTTCATGCCAAAGTGGAACCTCTTGTCATGGACTGCCATGGTTGCAGTATATCCACAGCTAGGATTCTTTAATCACGCAAGGCGAATACTGGAAACTATGCCAGAACAAGATCTCATTTCGTCGACGGCCATGATTTCTGCTTATGCCCAAAACGGACACGTGGCAGAAGTGAAGCGGCTGTTTTACGAGGACATTCCGCAGCATAATCTTGTATCGTGGAATGCCATGGTCGCGACGTGTAGCTGGAATGTCCGGGAGGCAAAAGAGGTATTTGATTCCGCCCCGGAAAGGGACACGGTGACGTGGAACGCTATGCTTTTGGCCTATGCCCATTGCGGGCATCTTCAGGACACGGTGGACGTTTTTTGCCATGCCACAGTGAAACGTGGTTTCGTGGAACGCCATGTTGGATTCTTACGTGGAAAACCACGAGTGGATGGAAGCAAAAGCTTTGTTTGAGAAAATGCCCAAGTGGAACATTGTATCATGGACGTCTATGCTATCGATATGTGCCGCAAATGGGCATATTGACGATGCTAAGGCAGTCTTTGACACAATGCCAGAAAGAAACATTATCTCTTGGAACACCATGCTAGGTGCATTTGTGCAGAAACAATGCTTAGAATATGCCAAGAGCTTCTTTGACTCAATGCCAGAGCATGATGCTGTATCTTGGAACATTATTGTAGCCGCATATGCTGAAAAAGGGCATCTTGAACAGAAGCTAGCAATGGATATGCCACAGAGAACCTTGGCATCCTCAAACGCGTTGCTGTGTGGATATTCCCAAATCGGGCATATGGAGGAGGCTTGGCAAGCCTTCCATACCGTGCTCGAGTGTGATGTAGTGACGTGGACAGCCATGCTGGCGGCATATGCTCAGAATGGGAACCTCGGGCTGAGCAGGAGGATCTTTGACGCGATGCCCGCCAGGAATGTGGTGATGTGGAGCGCCCTGATTGCTGGCTACGCCCAGAACGGGCAGCCCAGGACCGCGCTGGAGCTCTTTCACGTGTCTGTGCTTTACGAGATGCCAGCTGGAACTCACTTCATCTCGATCATGCTGTCGTCCAGCCATGCTGGCAAGCTTGACGCTTGCCGGGCATCCTCGTGGCCATGACACTGGACTATGACATGAGGCCGGAAAGCCAGCACTACTCGTGCATGGTGGATGTGTTAAGCAGGGCGGGCCATTTGGAAGATGCCAAGGACTTGATTGTGAATATGCCCTATTTGCCCCATGCAGCATATTGGAGGAGCCTGCTAGGCGCTTGCAGCAGGAGCGGCGATGGGAATGGTGCTGCCGCTGCCAAGAGCGTGCTCGATCTGGAATGTAGGGATGGAGCAGGATACATGCTTCTGGCCAATGCCTACAGCACTATCATTCGATCTCAATAAAAGAAGAAAACTAATTTGATATTGCAAGCAAATTTGTACAAAACTGAAAGATAGTTCTTTAAGGAACTTCTTACTGATGCCAATGGAAAGTAAACCTTCTAACTACTAAAGCATATTCGTGCTTACAAGTAAAATCATTGCTCCATATTAATCTTCAATTGTAATGAAATAAAAAATACAAAACACTTTAAACCTAGTTTATTATTCAGGCACTCACATTAGTGGAGGTGAGGGGCACCTTTGATTGTCCCTGAGGAGTGCTTGGATTTAGGATTTCGGTTTAGATCTAGCTTTTGCATCGTCTAACCGTTGGAGTATTTCTCAAAAACTAAGAAATATTAACCAATCACTCCATTTGTGAATCAACTATAGCTCCTGGGAGATTTTATTGGAGATAAATCGCCTGGACTAGGTTGTGTGGTGGAGCAGACTTGCCAGTGTAATCTTGCTACTGGGCTATAGATCCTTGTGTTGATTATCCAACGCGCTCATGCTCCTCACCCTCACATTGTTGCCACATACATCAATTGTCATCTCTCTCTTACATTGTGTTCCCAATTATCTTCTCAATAAGTCCATTCTTATGGGCATTGTCTAGTCTTGGATTTGCGAGCAGTGGCAAGGACTACATAAAAGATATGAATATCAACACAAATGTGCAGTGAATTGTGGTGGTGGTGTCTTATAATTCTTGAATGTCGAAAAAGACCATCAATCTTCAATCAATATGGTATAATTAAAAGTTATATGTGAGGAAATACACACCTAGAAATGGGAATTTTAACCTTGAATACAAGGTGGATTTGCCCCCTACCATGGTGTGATTCGGGGCTTCACTCTCAATGTTGGGTATATGCAAAACGACGTAGGGTTGGGCACTAATCAAGGTCTTTGTTTTCTAGGGTTGGCACGCAAATAAAATAAGCCTCCTAACCGTCGGATTGCACACTTAAATCAACGGTTGCATCCATATAGTTACATGTCAGTCTACGTGGCATAAATGATAGGGTCGAGCGCGGCGCGATCGCTATAGCTGGTACCTTTAATCGGACCAGGGCATTATATTTTGCATCCCGTGGCATTATATTTCCTGGAGATCGAAGGCGGGTCAAGGATCCCTGAATCATAAGGAGCATCCGGGGCGGATATAGTCCGGGTGGTACAAGTGCTTACACGGCATCTGGCGGACATCGGTGCCGAGTCGAGGGCCAGGTGCTCATTGTAAGCTCCTGAGTTTGGACTTCCCGGGAGGTCACCCAGCCCAGTACTATTCAAACCCAAGGACGCTTAACCCCAAATATCCCAAGACCCTTAACCGATTGGAAAAGGGGGTGCACTCTTATTCATGGGCCCTTTCCCTCTATATTTGAACCCTATGGACCGTCTCTCAAGTCGTTCTCTTTGGTTGCTTACAATCCACCACGCTTCCCTGCAAGTTCACGCCCTCGTGAACGGAAGCTAAGAGCCGCAGCTCTCCCGAGAGCCCCGCTCTCTTGACACCCTACCCCTCGGGTCGAGCCCAGCGGGAGCAAACTGGACCAGCCAGATGTCAATCAACATGTGGTGGGATTCCCCTAGCCAACCAACAGAGTCGGATTCCCCTAGCCAACCAACAGAGTCGGACCCGAGACCTCTCTGATACCAAATGTAAGCTCCTGAGTTTGGACTTCCCGGGAGGTCACCCAGCCCAGTACTATTCAAACCCAAGGACGCTTAACCCCAAATATCCCAAGACCCTTAACCGATTGGAAAAGGGGGTGCACTCTTATTCATGGGCCCTTTCCCTCTATATTTGAACCCTATGGACCGTCTCTCGAGTCGTTCTCTTTGGTTGCTTACACTCGTCCGTGATCGAAGGTGGGCATTCCCTCCACCGCCGCCTTGGACGCTGGCGGCGGGCCATAGCGGTTTAGATCGCTCTCCGCCAGATCGGTCTCCACCCCGAGCTTGGCGAACTTTAAAACGATCCCAACCGCCACCTCGACCGTCGTAGCTTCCTGCGAGGCCTCCACCACCAGTGCCGCCACTACGTGAAGTAAGCTCTTGCCTCCGTCTTGCTGGTGATGATCCAGAGCGCTCCTCACGACGCCATCCTCCATGCTGCGATGATCCCCAGTATTGACGTTCTCTCCGCACAGGTTTTTCACGAGATCAGCCATTATCTCGGGCCTCTCCCGCATCGCCACGGACGCTTCCTGGCTGGATTCCTTGCTCAGCAGGCAAAACAGCTCCATCGCGTGCCTCCTTACGTCTGCCACCATAGCTGGAGTCGTCGGAGCCGCGCTGCTTGGAGTCGAAGCCGGATTCTTGAGGAGAGGGAGAAGTATTTGCAACGCCTTGTGCTCGCAAAGCTTCGCTCTAGTGAAGGCTCCGATGTTCTTCCCGTTGGCCAGGCCGAGGAAAGTGCTCAAGACGTAACTTTGGACACCGACAGGCGTGAGCGAGCCCATGAGCTGCAAGAACTTGTAGATGTAGACCTCGAGCTGGTTCGTTGTTGCCTCGTCTTCGCCACTCCAGGCATCGCCAGCAATCTTGGAAAGATCGGCCAGTATCCTGGCAGCGCCAACTTTGATCTCCTCGACGGTCTTGACAGAGCTCAGCCGTGTAGATCGAGGACCGTCTCTGTGATGTCAGGCACAGATGTGAGGTTTTGGAGAGCACCTAGAGCTGCTTCATTTTCTTCTCGCTATGGGCTTTCGATCATCCTCAGTAGCGACACCAACACATCCTCCGTTGCGAGTGATGTTTTGCTCGAGTCTGGCAAGTGCATAGCAGCGAGTGCCTTTGCCATGACAATTCTCGATCCGATGGAGCCTGCAAAAAAAGAAAAAAAGAGCGTTTTGAATGAACATCGAATGAAATGGATTACCTTCAACAAGCCTGTTTGCCAAAGGCCACATGAGATTAGCCTCGGTCATGATCAGAACGTTGTCATCGCTGCCATTCTCCAGAATGTCTTTGACATTCGAATTAACGTCCTCGTCCTCGCAGCCGAGTAAAGTTACGAGAAACACGACCGCACCTTGTGCATGCCTGATCAGTTATGCAGTGCTGGGATTCTCAGACAAGACCTTCATCACCAGCACAGCTTCTCCCAAGTCTTCTTTTTGCCGAGTGAGGCTAAAGACCAGCAGCTCAACTATCAACACTCGCAATGGTGCAGTGCGATCAGAAAGATGATCTATAAAATGACTGAGATACTGCACCTTGCCCAAGAAGCGCTGCACATCATTCACACACTTCGGAGTAGAGAACTTTAAAACAGCCACAAGTTTGTCAAGATCAACTTGCAAACCCTCACAAGAAATATGATACCCAAGATAAGCTGTATCCTTGGACCCAAACACACACTTTGACTGCTTCAGTTTTAAACCAACGTCGCGTAGCCGATCCAACACTTTACAAACATCACAAATATGCTCCTCCCACGTCCCCTTCGAGTGGATCAAAACATCATTAATGAAGTTAGCAGTCACCACCGGCATATCACAAAGAACCTCATCCATCATCTGTTAAAAAGTTGCTGGAGCATTTTTTATACCAAATGGCATCACTAAGAACTCATACAAACCAAATAATGTACGAAAAGCAGTTTTAGGAATATCTTCTTCGGCCGTACTTGCCAGTATCCAAAACCAAGATTTAGCTTGGTGAACCAACGACTTCGCCCCAAATTACTAGCCTTCATCATTGATTCCTGAAAGAAGCAAAATCATCAATAGCTCATCGAATTTGTAACAAAAGAAAGCATAAAAAACAAAAAAATTTATGCACAATCACAAGCGACAAAAACTCAAACGTAAAAAAGTAAGAGACAGGCAGCACGATCCGCAAGCAAGGAAAGTGAAAGTTGAGAAATAACTTACCTGGTTCTCAAAAGTGTCACGAGCAAGCACCGTGAGAGCCCCCAGGGCCTCCTTGCGTACCGCCACGGCATCCCGCACGTCGTGCAGCTGCTTCACCATTGGCAACAGTGCCAACCTTGTATTTGTTGAGTGGCTCCTCCTCATACACCATGCGGATGTCCCGCATGGCCTGGACAATACACTTGGTCTCGAAGGCACCGCGCGGTACAGTGGAGCCGGGCATCGTAGTTCCTCTCCCTTCACTCGGCAATGGACTGCTTTAGCGCGAAGTTGGATTTCATCTGCGTCGTGGGGAGCTCCTCGCTTGTCACCGGGCACCAAGTGTTGCCCTCCGCAAACCATCGCTCGATCGCCTCGCGCTCGGCCCCGACGCGATCTGGACGGGGTTGCGCATCATGTCGCGGGTGATCGGGCAGATGAATGGCTGCAAGGGCAGCATTGGAGCGTCCCTGCTGCTGATGGAGAGCGACGTCATGAGCTGCTTCATCCGCTTGGCCTGTTCGTGCTCGCCCTCGATGGAATTTCGTCGGTGCGCTAAGTGTTGAGGACCCGGGACCGACCACACGTGGCGTTTGCATACTGCTCATATGGTGCTGGGCTCTCAAATTAAACCCTATTGTTATCATATGATGACAATCAATAAACAAATCCTTACTGTCATGTGAGTCGCTCTGAAAGCACAATTTTATCAAACCATGTATGCATACTGCTCATATGGTGTGTTCAACCTGTCTGGACTCTCAAATTAAACCCCATTGTTATCATATGATGGCCCATGAGTCGCTCACGTCATGTTTGAGTCGTCAAATGTTTTCTTCTCTTTTGGGACATTGGGCAGTGCTCTCCCATGCAGAAAAACTATCTCAACATTTGGGACGGCCGGAGTCCTGAAGCTTCGTGTTCCCAAGTTTGGAGTCCATCAAGACTTAGCTTTGATCATCCCCACCGTTAAACTCCATACAAAAGTTTATATTCTGGGCAACATAGGAAATGAGAAGTGCCTGGAGCTCCTGTGATGAGTGGCAAGCAGCACCGGGGGTATGTGGACAGAGATTCCGTAAAGAGGATATTTGCAATGGACGAGAACAATCTAGGCGATTCAAGTAAGAGGGTCTGGGATCCACTCCTTGTACAATTCGGCCTCCCGTGGTTTTCGAGTACGTCGGGAGTCGCTCGACACGATGGTCTTGCAGTGGTGCTTGGGCTTCTCCAAGCTCGTGGTCTACGGCCCCAAGGGTCTTGGGAAATCGTCCGATTTCCGAGCGCTAGCGTGCCTAACGTACCAAAAACTGAACACTAGTGCTGCAGAGGGTCCTCGGGGCAGGGTGGTGTTTTTGTGGGAGGAGACGCTCGTGCAGGATCTAGTTGAAGCCCTCAAGAATGCGCTCCTCTTCTCCTGTCTGGTAGACGAGGTCGAAGGTGCCGACGGATGACAACAGATTGAGAGTGCTATCAAGGCCTTCGCCTTCATCAAAGCCGGAGGTGTTTTACTTCCTGGTGGACGGCGGCGAGAAGCTAGACCCCGCAGATTTTCTTGGAAAGCCGGCGTATAACTCCGACCACCTTCCTGGAGTGCGTAGTGATTTGCGGCGGGTTTTGGCAACGGGCGAGCGGTGTGGTGTGTACAAGCGGAAAAGCCACCATTGAGCTGCCGTAGTTTACTTACGGGAATAGAGGCTTCACAGTACTTACTCCAGCTTATGGTTTTTGTACATGCAGGATGAGTACTCCATGTATGCCCAGAAGTGCATACTCGGGAAGATTCCTGCTCGTCGTTCAAGCATCTACTTTTACACTGGATTTGTCCCACTTTTCCAGGAGCTGGAGCTGGAGAAAGAGCAGCAAAGGACGTTCCGCACCTCGAGGTGTGGGAGCGGACAGGTGTAATCGGAAAAAGGCTGACGAAATAGTGCTGAAAGGAGAAGACTGCTACACCGACGAGCTTATGGCACGCCTCGATCCCACTTATGTCCTCAACGCTGAAATGGGAAAGTACTGCTCCACTTACATCAAGATGATCTACATGAGGACCGTGCGCTCCAAAGAACAGATTGCTAAGGCTCATGCCAACCTCGCGTGGATGGCATATGCACGCCGTCTGCTGGAAGACCCGGCTGTGGTTGACTGGGTTGCCTCTGTGAGGACATCCTTGCCAGCGTGCTTGTGAAGAAGGGAGTGGTCCTTGGCGGGCTTAAACTTCGAGGAGCTATTACTCTCGAAACGTTTGCTGTCATCCCTTCGAGAAGCATCAAGTCACTGCTGCAGCTGAAGCCGAATTCAGGGTTTTACTACAAGCCTTTGGACGTTTGCTTTCCAGACGTAGATGACGTGGTGATCTGGATGGACGATAAGGGCGAACTACATATTGCGGCACTACAATGTACCGTCAACATAGACGAGCATTTACATTCTGCAGATCAGTTCATGAGCTTGCAACCTTTGAAGCGCTGGTTTCCTGATGTTGAAGAGTACGTTTCACGGCCATTGACGGAGTCCGAGTCCGTTTCACAGTCGTCAACGGATGTTGAAGCAGCGTCCATAAATCTGCACTTCGCATTCGTTGGCTGCTCTTCAAGGCCAGGATTCACCAGTGGCGAGCGCGAGTCCACACTCAAGATGCTGACCAACGCTGTGCTTGTTGGAACGCCTGCTTACTTGATGCATATTCTACCTTTGGACGGGGGCCTGAATGCTGACGATTACAAGGTTTTAGTTGAGATTACTCAACGGAGGACATGGCCAAACAGGAGCAACTACACTGAAGTCAGTGACGATGTCTACCCAGAACCGAGCTCGAGAAGATGGCTAAGCGAGACTTTGGAATCAGTGATCCAAGTCGCAAGAAGTACAAGAATAAAGCATTGTTGATCTATGATGTTAAAAGCAGTGTGAATAAAATACTTGAAAATTAAAAAAAATTACGTTACTATTATGTTGTAGTGGTCCAAACACACACCATGTGCCATGGGTGTTCAATCTCATCATCCTGCCATGCTTCGACATTTGGTAGTTGGTAAACCATTGCACCATGCACTTTGTATTCCAAAAAAGGGATAAGCTGTTTGTTTAAAAAAACCATTGCACATTAGTAAAGCTAATGTACCATCATTTATATTGTGGAAGTGTGTCCTTTATAAAGCCACACACTCAAGACACATTACTTAGGGAAAAATGATAGTAACCATAGAAATGAAGTGTTTATGGTTAGGCTTATGGCTATGGTAGGTAATTTATGATGGTAATTTTGGGAGGTAGTTTAACAAAAAATTATGAAAGCATGTAAAATATATAAAAAAGAAAAATACATACGTACTTAAATTATTATAACACATATATGTGATTCACAAAATAGTATTTTAAACATTTCTTTTTATATATGGGCATGCATTGGTGTGTGTTATATATATATCACAAAGTTCAGGTTAGCACCATATATGCAATTTCTTATACTGAATAAATTTCAACTCTATATTAGATTTTTCCACGTCAATAAAGTTTTAATTTAAAACTTTTGGCCAAAAAGTTACATTTTAATTTTTTTTTAGATACTATAGGTTAATTTTGCCATTATTGAGGTTATTTCTTTGGTAAGAGTAATGAAAAGTGCTTTGTATAAGAAACTTAAATATAATAAACTATTGCAATATTAAACCTTTAGTGTTTATTACTCAAAGAAATATTTGCTTCTGCACTCCAATTTATCAAAATTGCCACAACATAAAAATGAGAAAAAAAACCTTTACTAAAATTTTAGTGATATCATATTGTTTTGGATGATATAGCATTAGTATTACATGGCAGTCGAAGGTGTCATGCCCTATATATATAATATATATACCTCATGAAGAAAATATTATATATACAAATTATATATATATATATATATATATATATATATATATATATATATATATATATATATATATATATATATATATATATATATATATATATATATATATATAATGCTCCTATGAACAATTATATATAATATTTATATATTATGGAAATCTTCAGCACTTAAGTCTTTGAATATGTGATTATATGTAAAAGCATTATATATTTACACATATATGGATTTTTATATTTCTTTTGTTTTGAGTTGTATACAAGAATGACAAACTTCAATATCTATAAACTTCGTGAGCAAATAGATTTTGTTGTAACTACAGTAAAACATTACCTCCATTGATTTCTTTTCTTTTTAATATATGTTGAAGTTTTAGAATTGCAATGGTTTATTTTTCTTGTTGTGTAAAACACTTTCATTACTCTCACCAAAGAGGAAACCTCAATAATAGCAAAATTAACTTATAACATCTAAAAAGTAATTAAAATATAACTCTTGTACTTAAAGATATTATGTGTAGAAACTTTAAATCTAAACTCTACTAAAAATTTAATATGAAATTAAAATTTACATAATGAAAAAAAATTACATTTATGGTTTTGATTTAGACTTTTCAATGTATATATAGTAGGCACAATGCATGCCCATACATAAAAAAGTTATGTTCAAAATATTATTTTATATGTTTATTACAGCAATTTATGGATATATGTGTTTTTTTCATATATTTTTATATGATTTTATAATTCTTTGCCAAACCACCCACACCAGGTACACATCCCTTATTAGAAAGTTTACCTTGTCCCAAAATTGTCATCACAAATTAATTGCTATAGTTTGAGGCCATTTATTTGATCACCTTTGAAATAAAATATATTAGAAAATGTATTAAATTGAAGATTTAATACATTGGTTGAAGAAAAATATACTAGAGTGCCCATATATGTCAGATTCAAATATAACTCGCAATGGTATTGTTGCCGTTGATTCTCATCACCTTCCTTCACAATTATCTTTGTTAGAAAAATAATATCAACATTATTCAAGGTAAATATAAACATTTTATATGTTCCTGTTTTAATGGTTTTATTAAATATAATCTTTATATCTTTGTAGAATAGGCGTTCCAACAAGCAGAGCGTTCCTCAGCATCTTGAGTGTGGACTTGTGCTCAGCACTGGTGAATCCAGGCCGTTAAGAGCAGCCAACGAATCTGAAGTGCAGATTTGTGGACACTGCTTCGACATCCGTTGACGATTGAGTTGACGACTGCGAAACGAAGTCAGTCGATGGCTGTGGAGCGTACTCTTCAACATCGCTTCAGAGATTGCAAGCTCATGAACTGATCTGAATATTGTAGATGGGCGAGGTCGCCCATCTACATCTGGAAAGCAAAGGTCTAAAGGCTTGTAGTAAAACCTGAATTCGGCTTCAGCTGCAGCAGTGGCTTGATGCTTCTCGAAGCAAAGGTTTCGAGAGTAATAGCTCCTCGAATTTTAAGCCCGCCAAGGACCACTCCCTTATTTGCAATAGGATGTCCTCACAGAGGTGGCTCAGGCACGATCAGTCGACCACAGCCGGCATTGAGAACGTAAGTGGGGTCAAGGCCTGCCATGAGCTTGTCGTTGTAGCAGCCTTCTCCTTTCAGCACTATTTCGCCAGCCTTTTCCCGAACTGCCTTATCTCGCAGTGTCCAGAAAACGTTTTAATCATGGAGTAACTTGTACCAAAACCATAAGCAGGAGTAAGTAGAAGAGTACACAACTTACGCCTGTGAATTAAGTAAAATACGGTACTGGAGCGCTTCGGCAGCTTCTGTAGCGCAATGCTGGCTTTGCGCTTGTACACCACCGCCCGTTGCCAGAAAGGTGGTCGGAGTGGCAAACCAGTGGCAAACCAAGAAAATTTGCGCAGCTTGCGGCCGTGCCAAATGTTGAGATAGTTTTTCTGCATGGGAGGGCGCTGCTCAATGTCCTTGTCAAAAGAGGTGACGTTGTATTAGAATGTGCCGTTGCATGTCGTGAGTTCAGGAATCACTATGTTTTGTATTTAAGGGAAGATTACAATCACTGCAATGTCGTCGGTTGATCCACGCTCTTGCGAAATCTTTACTAGTTTCTTAGCGACATCCCCAGGAGAGGTATCATTTTCCCTGTTGAATAACTAGGATCAAAAGTGAGAAGAAAAGAGAGCTGGGCTTACTGGGCAGACAAGCAAATGTCGACAGCGTCTTGAATCGCCATTGTTTCCCACAAGCCATCGGTTCCCACAATGACTACCTTGTCATCTGCGTTTTGAAACACAAAGCAATATGAGAAGTTTACAAATAGTTCTAGTATGTTCTACCGGGAGAGATTTCTTGAATTGTGACATCTGGTTCAGCAGTCAAGCCAAAGCCACCTCCAGCACCATCAGGCTTCCCATCAGACCAGCTGTTTAATCAGAGACCAAAGCCGTGAAAGAATAAAAAAAAACTCAAGGTGTCTCACTCACTCCTTTAAAAAAGCATCGCCAAATGCACGAGAAAGCGAGAGCAAGCCACCAATTCTCCATGTCCCTCCCACGTTTACAACCTGTACGTCAGTAAAGAAAATGTTTCTGGGATCTGAGGAAAGAAAATTTAGTGCCAACCAGAGGCTTTTTTGGCGTTGGATTCTTGGCCTCGATTCGTTTTCTCTCCGATTCCACTTCTGGCTGCACGAGAGCAACGATCAGCATGCAAGCAAAACATTAGTCTCGCAGTAATGAACAAAACCTTGTGATCGACTGTAAGCTGGAGAGCTTTACCGCCTTTTGAGATCACAACTCGAGCATCTCCAACATTTGCAGCAACCAAGACCCGCGTGCCATCTGACCACCGAAACTCAAAACCTTTGGAGATGATATCCAAGTGATAAAACTTCTCAAACCTTTGGGAGGCATCAACACTGCTGTAGCAGCGGTGGCTCCACAGCGCGATCCACCAACGCCTCGCTCTTGCAGTGCTCCGAAAAGTCCTTTTGGTTGAGCTAGCGTCATCTCGTCAACTTCTAAGTAGGCGCTTTTGGTGGCCTTTGCGAAGTTTCCACCTCCTAAAAGACAGTGGCATACAGCTTCGCTTTAAACTTTAGCTTATACAAGTGTACCTTGAGAGAGCTTTTTCTTGTACTCGGGCCATAGTCTCGTCTTTAGCAACCTGTGTGGAGCCACAGAAAAATATTAGATTCCAACGAGAGAATCCATCGAGCTTTGCTTACTCTGCCACTGCAATTCCTCCATGCCCGTCAAAAACACCAAAAAAAGAAGGCTGTGATCCCGTAGAATCGATTGAAACGCTGACAGTATCTTCCATATTGGCTCGCCCTGTGCCTTGCACAGCCATGGCGCCATAGCTAGAAATTCATGCTTGGGTCATGAACGATCACACACAGGAAGAAAAAGAAGAAGACGCTACCTTTTCTTGTCCAAAGCAAGCGCGCAATTCACCACAAAACCCCTCCTCGACGATCCAATCCTTCGCTTGGAAGTGGCAAAACCCTTGCATTCCAATGCTGCACAAACCACGACGCACTGCATCCATGACTGTTACGAATCACGATCCAGCGCCAAAATTTCTAGACCTGTGACTTACCTGGCCATGGCTGCCCCAAACCTGAACTAGCGCACAGCGACGCCATCGCTATATGCCCTCCACGTCCAAGGGCTTTTTGGTACATTCGTTTTAAATCCAGATTTCCCTCGCAAATTCCCATTACCAATAACCTTTTCCATTAGCACTAATCCAACTTTCGTTTTAGCCGTTTTGTAACAGTAAATAGAGAGCCGTTATATTGACAGCGTACGAAAATGTGACCGTTGGGCCACCCTTGTACGGATTCACGTGGTCGGTGGTGGCCTCGATTGATTTTTCCTCCTAAAAAACTTTATTTTTTACACTCGGACCATACCAGCCAAGACAAGCTAAGCCACCATAGCCAATTTCTTACAAGTAAAATCCTCTAAAGCTAAGCGCAATGGGACCCCCCTCAAGGTGGGCGAGAGCTTTACGCTACTAGACGCGACTTTAAGAAATAGGAGGTGATCGCTTTGCTTTACTTCACTGGTCGCTTTCCTTTGAATTGCGACATGGAAAATGAATGAATCTCGCAATCAGTCTTGTTCACGACACAAGTTTGATCCAATCCATCCATTCCAAGGTACCTCCACTGCATAATCTCCATAGTTTAGATTAGCGAAAGAGAGAGAGAGAGAGAGAGAGAGCTCTAAACAACACATTTATGGATCTTCCGGACAAGCTTATGAGCGCTGGGACACACTACCAGTAGGCTATACCAGAAAGAAGAAAAGAAGAAAAGGAAAAAGAGAGGCTTACAGAGTGTGTACTTGAGCTTACCCTGTAGGAGTAGCTCGTCGTTGGCGATCTCTCATGTTGGATCGATCGCTTGGCTCGATCCGGTCAGCCTCTGGAAGTAGAACAATCCATGGATACTGCTACGGCACTCTTGAGCCCGACTTCGTCCGCAGATGGCGTCTCCTCGGCTTCCCTCATGATGATCGCCCAGCAGTTCTTCCAGCACCAGTCCATCCAGCACCACCAGGAGAGTGATGATCTGCTGCTGCTGCCATCGCTACCGCTCCACCAGCAACAGCAGCCCAGCATGAATCTCATGAGCTGCTGGAACATGATCAATCAGCAGCAGCAGCAAGGATGCGAGCAAACACCAATTCAGCTCACCCAGTGTGGCAGCGTCGTGGAAGAGGATGTCACGGCCTACTTGGATGGATTCACGCCCCCTGCGACGCCACCACACCAGGAAGATCATCAGAAGAATCACCCAAAGCCGCAGCAGCAAGAGCAACAGCCAGACGATTGGATGGAGTACCTGATGATGAGCAGTTGCATCAGCGATGGAGCGGCAGCTGTAGCCGAGCACCACCCCTCGGAATCCTCGCACAGCTCCGAGCTCTTCAGCCCGGACGACATCTGGAGGGAGCACTTCGGCCTAAATCTCATGTCGAGTAGCTGCTGCTCCAGCGATCAACAGCAGTGGGATATCAGCAGCTTTACCACCGGCCCCGCCACCACGACCACGACCACCACCACCGGAGGAGACGAACACCTCGCCGCGAATCCACAACACGTAAGTACTACCACTGTCAATCTTCGTAGCCAGCACCACCAGGAGCAGCAGCAAGATCGAGGAGGAGCCTTGGAGCAGCTCGTCCAGCTGCTGGTGTCGTGCCTGGACGACATGGAGAGCGGCCAAGCATCCTCGGCGATGGACAAGCTCGCCACTCTCAAGGCCATGGCGAGCTCATCCGGGAACGCTGTGGAGAAGTGTGCGTGGTACTTCTCCTCTGGACTGGAAGCTCGGCTCCACAGAAGAGGTGGCAATGATCACAGCGATGGCGACGACGACGAAGAAGAAGAATCGCCCTCCTCCTCGCCCAACAAGGCCGAAGCCATAGCCATGGCGTACAAGACCCTGACCGATGCCTGCCCCTATCTCAAGTTCGCGCATCTCACCGCCAACCAGGCGCTGCTCGAGGCCACCGATGGAGCTCCCAAGATCCACATTGTCGACTACGGCACCATGCAAGGCGTCCAGTGGGCGGCATTCCTCCAGGCATTCGCGACATGGCCGGCCAAGAACCCTAGCCCCCGGTCGCTGCGAATCACCGGGATTCCCAGCCCCCACCTCGGATCCAACCCCGCCCCGGCGATGCTCGCCACGCAGCGCCGCCTCACCGATTTCGCCAAGCTCCTGGGCGTGGATTTCCAGTTCTGCCCCATCCTGGAGCCCATCCGCGACTTCCAGCCCTCGCAATCCCTGCGCACCGATCCCGACGAGGTCGTGGCCGTGAACTTCGTGCTCCAGCTCGCGCAGCTCCCCGCCCCGGCGCTCAAGCGCGCCTTCTCCCTCGTCCAGCGATTAAACCCTAGGATCGTCACGGTGGCCGAGTACGAGGCCAACAACGGCGCTAGCCTGCGCGATCAGCTGGCCAGCAACGCGCGATTCTACTCCTCGGTCTTCGAATCGCTGGACGTGGCGCTGCCGGGCGATGATGCACAGCGCATCACCGCCGAGAGGCTCTTCTTCGGCAGAGAGATCACCAAGAGCCTGGTGGAGGGAACGAATTGCGAGTGCCCGGAGAAGCAGCGCGAGTGGCAGCGATGCATCGATGGCGCGGGGCTGTGGAGCGCGGCGCTGAGCCACTACACGGTGAGCCAGGCGCGATTGCTCCTCTGGCTCTACAACAAGAGTGAGAATTTCACGCTGCTCCAAGGGCCTGGGAGCTTGTCTCTCGGCTGGCTTGGCACCTCCATCGTCACCGTCTCGGCATGGCACTGCTAGCTAGGCAATTCTTCCTTCTTCTTCCATCTCCTTCCATCTCCTTCCATCACTCCATCGCCATGCCAAGGACGTGTATATGCACTCTTTACTTACACCTCTCCAATTCCTTCTTCCACTGGGCATCTGGGAAAGGATTTTTACAATGTATTCGATCGACTGACAATGGATCACGAACTAATTAGAATCATAGACGTCCATAGCTTGGCTTCTGGGAGGATATGATCTTCGGTGTGGCTGCTACAAGCTCCTAGCAAAGCCAGCCTCGCAACTTCGCCGGGCTCGAATGGCATGGATTGCAAGAGCTCCTCGGCAGCTCCAAGCCATCCAGAGCGACCGATCAAATCTACGACGCAGACAAAGTGATCTTCACTTGGCTGGAGGTGGAAATCCGATTTCATGGAGAGGAAGTATGTGTAGCCCTCGCTCCACAGCCCTGCGTGACTGCACATTGACAGGAGAATGGAGAAAGTTGAGGTTGTGGGATGTAGACCTTGAAAAACCATGTCCCAGAACACAGAGGTGGCTTTTGCAAAGTGCCCATTTGCGGCAAATGCTGCTAACATAGCATTCCACAACACTGCGTTTGCATCTTGGGTGGTCTCAAACACGTTTTGGGCGTCTCGGATGGCGCCACATCTTCCGTACATGTTGATCAACGCGCTTGACACCATTGTTCTTGAATGCTTCTTTGTTTGGAGTCGAAGATTCAAGTGTCTGACATTGAAGCAGGAGTGAATGAGCTTTCCTTGGGAAAGATCCGTGAGACTCGCACAGGACCCCAAAAGAATTGCAAGTGTTTCCATCTCCTCACGAATACCCTGAAGCTGCATCGAGTGGAAGGCTCCAAGAGCAAGCCTGTCTTGCCCAGATTTGGCATATGCTGTAATCAACGCATTCCACGATGCAATGCTCCACATTGGCATTCTACCAAACATTTTTCTCGCTGAAATGAAACAAGAGTCTCTTGTGTCACCTGTAAGCAATGCGTTCCAAGAAATAATGTCTCTGTGAGGCATTCTTTTAAACAAAGCAGCAGATTTCTCCAAGTTTCCACTCTGCATGTTTGTGACAATCATTGCATTCCAGCAAAGTATCGTGTGCTCTGGCATCATGGCAAAGAGTTTCTCCGCTTTTCTCAGCTCTCCGTTTGTGACAAAGGCTTGAATGATGCAGTTCCATGCGGTTTCGTCTCTGTGAGGTATGTCCACAAAGGTTCTCCATGCATGCAGCAGTTGCCCTTCCTTGGCATATGCAGTTACGACGATATTGCAGGTTCTTACATTCCAGGACGGCATCAACGCAAACACAGTGCGATATCCAAACGCCTGAACTGCTATGTTCCAGGTGATGATATTTTTCAAAAGCGTCATAGAGAAGAAAGCCCATGCACGATGCAAATCCCCACACCGGATAAACGCCTGAAGCATCGCATTGCAAGATACAACATCGGGTGCAGGCGTAGCGTCAAAAACCATGCTCGCCTTCGACAGTTGCCCAGCTTGGGCATATGTCGTAATCATGATATTCCACGTTGAGGTGCTCCTCATGGGCATGATCTCAAAGAGCGCCTCGGCATCGGGAGCTAAGCCGCAGCAGGCCAGCGCTCTGATCCTCGTATTCCAAGACGCGATGTCCGCAAGCCGGATGCCCATGCTCAGAGTTTTTAACCTCACTTGGTTGCCTGCGTTCTTATCCAGTCCCTTTGTCACCTTGTGATGTTGGGTGTTTCGTCCAGAGCTCAAAGCAAAGCGCCTCTCTTGCCTTCATGCTGGAACGAAGTTGCGATCTGGCATGCATAGCAAGCAACCAGCAGGAGGCCTGATCCACAGAATGCGGGAACTAATTCTCATGAATTCGTCCTCACAGGCCATTGGCAGCAGCGGCAAAGGTGCGAGCGCTAGAGATGGTGGAGGAGGCTATGTCAAGCTCGTCAAGCCAGGAGGTAAAGTGGTGCAAGTCCGTGGCCCCGTGAGGGCAGGAGATGTGATGCAAAGCACACAGCACTACTATGTAACACGACCCGATGTGTTTCGTGTTTCACCTGTGAGCGCAGCGCTTCTCACACCGGATGTGATTCTCATGCCGGGCCACATGTTCTATCTCCTCACTTTCCACACGGTGGCGAGCCTGTTAAGAAAGGAAGGTTTGCAAGCACAGGCTGATCAAGGGAAGAAATCTGTTGTGCTTCCAAAGGATTCAGGAGAGATCAAAGAGCATCGAGTGCATAACAAAGAGAACTTGGAGAACAACGTCAAGATCAACTCTTTGGAGCAGCTGATTTCCAAGAATGATCCAGGAGATTCAAGCAGTCCTAGCACGGATGCATTGGACGGTTGCTGCAGAGAAAACTCCATACCTTGGTCTCCACCTTCAGGAAAGTATGTGAGGAGGCCATTGAGGACATCATACTTCAGAAGGAGGCAGTCTTTCAGACCCATGCCACCACTCCCTGAGAATGCGACCACATCATCTTCTTCCCCCTCGTTACAAAGTGGAGACTAAAACCATGCATAAGCTCAAGAGTTTTCTTGTGTACAGAATTCATTCCAGTTTTCAAAAGTTTTGCCTCTGAGTGTCAATCGAAACTTATCATGTCCTCCATTACCACTGATCGATCTGGATGATCCAATGCAGTGCTAGCAGCAGTAGAATCCATGGCTGCCTCATACTGCTTCCGAAACTCTGGGTTCCTGGACAAGAACGCGGAGATTCCTCGGATCCTACGTCCAAAGGCCTGCAGCATCGCGCCACGGATTGGATCTAGCTCGCGAAAACCGCCCTGCCGACGCAGCACCATGTCATAGAGGTACTGCTCCTCCGTGGCATCCAGCTCAGCCTCTAAGATCTGACGTTGCAGGGTCTCCAGCGAATCGTAGTAATGGTCATGTCCGCGTTCCTCTTGTTTCGTTGACGTCAACAAGTACGAAAGAATAGTCAACGCTGCCGACTCCACGGTCAACTTGTCGGTGGAGGCCAGCAGGCCCTGCTCGATCAGGCGCGGGCCATAGCCGGAGCTCATGAACTCGAAGAGCTCGCCGAGATCCATCTCGCGAATCACGTGGAATGAAACGCCCAGGCCTCGCTTTTGCTGCTCGCGCTCGTGTACTAGATCATCAGCTGGTTCTTGATCGCGGCGGTGACGATGGCGGTGATTCTTCCTATACGCCGGCTTTGGGAGACAAGTCCCTTGCCTGAGATGGATCATGTCGTTGCTGAGCTCGTCATACTCGGCGATGGCCGCGATGACGTGCTTGAGGCCACAGCGGATGGATTTCTCCCGGTAAGCCACCACCGCGCCGTTGAAGCCCTTTGCGAGGCTGTAGAGCAGCGCGGATCCTAGAGACGCGGCCACTCTCGCGGGCCAGAGCGCGAGCATGGCGCCCGTGACTGGCAAGCAAATCGGCCTCGAGCAAACGCCATCTTCCACGCACTCTTCCATGTTGATCACCTCTTGCTTCCATCCCTTCCACAGGAAAACTGGAGCCTTGGCCACGGCTATGCCGCAAACCGCTGGAACATCCACGACTAGGCCCACGACTGCCACGCCCGCGCATCCAACCAGACGAGCAGTGTTGCTCGCGGCTCTCTTGGCCTTGATCTTGATCACAACCCTCTTCTTCGACTTACCTGGAGTAGAAGATCTTGTCTCTTCCATGGTCTCTTCCATTGTCTCTTCTGTCGCTCGCGCTTCTTGGGCGATTATAAACCGCGGCGGCCGGCAATCCACCAGCTGTGGCTGCCGTGCCCAGACTCGAAAAAGATGACATCCATCGCTTGAGCCAACTATAAGAGTCCTCTTTGACGCGTATTTCCACTCAGTGGGGCAAACCTTTTTCTATTTGTATATTCTTCCTCGATCTAAGAATCTCTTGGCCATGTTTTTCTCATTGTAAAGATGATTGCGTCTTTGACTCCATATTTATAATCAAGAGGAAGTTGCTAGATACACACTGTTTGTGTACCGGGCTTTTGTTTCTTTGTGTAGGGGCCTGGGTGACAGTCCCCCCCACTCACGAGAGCCAGGTTGCAACGGTCAGTTGAGATTAAGTGCTAGTGACATGTTTGGCAGGCTTGCGGGCAGAGAGTTGGGTGATTCCCTGCTTGATCCCGTGATTTGGGGGCTGGATGATCATCCAAACCTTATGGAAAATCTCACAACCAAAGCTAAAACACGCAAAACAAGCAAGCATTGGAGCGCCAGAGCGCGATATAGCATAGGCTAGGTGCCATGATGAGCGTAGAGCTCTCTTGAAAGAAAAGAGAGCGAGAGATGAAGCCGCTGGTGGTGGTGGTGGTGGTGGTGGTGGTGGCGCTAGCGGCGGCGGTGGCGGTGGCGCTAGAGGTAGGAGGTGATCTGGGCGCTCAGCAGGAGGTGGAAGCGCTACTGGCATTCAAGCAATCCGCGGATTGGAATGGTGGAAGGCTAAGGAGCTGGGGGAGAGGAAGCAACCTGTGCACGCAATGGGTGGGCGTGTCGTGCGTCAAGGGCCGCGTTTCCAAGCTCGTCCTGGAGGATTACGATCTGGTGGGGGGCATCGACTCGCTGCTGCGCTTGCGCTCCCTCCGGCTGCTCAGCCTCAAGAACAACGCGCTCAATGGGAGCATTCCTCCCGACCTGACCAACTGGAGGAATGTCAAGTTCGTGTTCTTGGGCGGCAACCATCTCTCCGGATCCATCCCAAGATCCATCTCCCAGCTCGCTCACCTGTGGCGGCTCGATCTCTCCAACAACAGGCTCTCGGGTCCAGTCCCCAGCTCCATGGACGCGCTCACGAATCTCCTCACGCTGCGTCTCGAGGGGAACGAGCTCTCGTCCGCGCTCCCGCCGCTCGCCCATCTCACCATGCTCAACGATTTCAACGTCTCGGCCAACCAGCTGCGAGGTACCATCCCCAAAACTCTCGAGCGTTTCAATGCTTCCACCTTCGCTGGCAATGCGGGGCTGTGTGGCTCGCCTCTCCCGCGCTGTGCTAGCATTCTAGAGCCACCATCGCCAGCACCCTCTCCGGACCATACCATCGATCCACCACCACCATTTCGCGCCTACGTTCCATCCTCTCTGGCCATGCCTTCGCATTCCAACGACACGAGCAGTACTCCAGCGTCCACCACGAGACATTCACGCAAGAAGCAGCAGCAGCTAAGCACCGGAGCCATCATCGCCATCGTAGTGGGCGATGCCGTCGTGCTGGTGCTCATGACTTCGATGTTCCTCGTCTACTACTGGCGAAGGAGTGGGCGACGTGGTCGTAAGTTCGAGGACAGGAGCAGCAGCAGCGCGTCCGGATTTGGATCGCAGCTGGATCAGCAGAGCAAGCACGGCACGTACGCGTCCAAGCCAAGAACAGTCCCCGCGGCCGCCAGTGCCGTGGAATTCGACACCGATCACCCCGTGTCCGTGTCCTCCATGATCAGCAACAACACCAACAACAAGCTCGTCTTCGTGGGTGGCGGTGGTAGCGGACAAGCTCCCAGCTTCGATCTGGAGCATCTCTTACGAGCCTCGGCGGAGATGCTCGGCAAGGGGAGCCTGGGCTCGGCATACAAGGCCATGCTCGTCGATGGCTACGTCGTGGCGGTGAAGCGGCTCAAGGACGTGACTTCCACCAGCCGGAAGGATTTCGAGCAGCACATCGAGTTGATTGGGAGGATGCGAAGCCCGCATCTGGTCCAGCTCCAAGCGTACTACTACGCCAAGGATGAGAAGCTCCTCGTCTACGACTACATGCCCAATGGCAGCCTCCATAGCTTGCTCCATGGTTGGTTTTCCATTCCATCTCTTCGATCGACGTCTAAGCTTGTGTGATGTCTCTTTCTGTAGGCAACCGAGGACCAGGACGTGTACCCGTGGATTGGACCACCCGGATCAACATCGCGCTTGGAGCTGCGAGAGGTCTGGCGTACATCCACCAGGAGAGCGGTTCTCACAAGATACCGCACGGGAACATCAAGTCGAGCAACGTGTTCTTGGATAGAAACGGGGTGGCGCGCATCGGGGACTTTGGCCTGGCGCTGCTCATGAACTCGGCGGCTTGCTCCAGGCTGGTGGGATACCGGGCTCCGGAGCACTGGGAGACGAGGAGGATCTCGCAGAAGGGCGACGTCTACAGCTTCGGCGTGCTGCTGCTGGAGATCCTGACGGGGAAAGCTCCGGTGCAGCGCGACGGCGTGCATGATCTCCCGCGCTGGGTGCAGTCGGTGGTGCGGGAGGAATGGACAGCCGAGGTGTTCGATCTGGAGCTCATGAGGTATAGAGACATCGAGGAGGAGATGGTGGGGCTGCTGCAGACTGCCATGGCCTGCGTCGCTCACTCGCCGGATGCGCGGCCCAAGATGAGCCAAGTTGTCCGGATGATCGAGGAGATACGCGGCAACGCATCCCCGGAGTCGTTTGATTCTCAGTCGCAGCTCTCCTCGTCTCAATCGGAAGGAGCATGATCTCATCGACGAGCAAGAACTTGTGTAACTCTATCTATGCAAAGCGTAGAGCAAAGACAAGTTACAGATAAAACACAGAGTTGGCATGTTTGTGAGTGTGTTCTTCCGTTCGATATAATCCTCGTCTCTCAATCGGAAGGAACATGATCTAAGAACTTGTGTAACTCAAGAATAGATCGATCAATGCAAACGGTTAGAGCAAGGATTCATGGTACAAGTTACAGACAACACAAAGTTGGCAATGTGTGTGAGTGAGTGTGTTCTTTCGTTCGATGATCTCCTAGAGCTAGCTTGACGTTAGAGAAGCTTGCTAGCGTCCATAGTCCAGCATCTCCGCGTACGCAGCCTGCTGCCGGGTCGGGTACGAGGTACACTCCTCTCCGGAAGACGAGAATCCTGCGTCGGCAGTGGCGGAAGCTCCTGCACCATCGGCCAGAGTCTCGATCTCATACAACCTCTGCACGACCTGTCCCATGCTTGGCCGCAGCTGCGGCACTGGCGCCACGCACGAGAACGCGATGCTGGCCATACCAATCGCACCAGTCGCCGAAAACTTGGTCCCCAAGGACGGATCGATGGCGGTGTCGAGATGGCCGGAGTCGAAGAGCGGCCTCACAAAGTTGGCGAGATTGGTGACCGACAAGCTGCTGCCGTCCGCGTACATGGGCTTGCGTCCCGTGAGGAGCTCCAGCAGCAAGATCCCAAACGCGTACACGTCGCTCTTCTCGTGGAGGTGGCCGATCACTCCATACTCGGGTGCCAAGTAGCCCAGCATTGCCGATGTCTTGATATTGGCATAGACGAGCTCGTCCGCGAGCACCTTGTTGTGACCCCAGCTCGACACAAGAGCATTGTAGCTCTCGTCCAAGAGGACGTTGGAAGCCCACACGATGACCTGCTCGCCATTGCGATGGAGGTAATCCAATCCTGCGTAGTAGCAGTATCTCGAGTATTAGATTAGGACTCCATAGCCATGCAAGCTTACGTACCTTTGGCAACTCCATGGGCGATCTGGACTCTGGTTCCCCAGTCCAAAGGTGACACGCTCGGGCCGTGCAAGTGCTCGAAGAGCGATCCATTCGGCACGAAGTCGTAGACGAGGTAGCACTGGAGTCCTCCTTGGACGCAGCAAAAGCCCTTGAGCTTGACGAGATTGTCATGCTTGAGCTGCACGAAGGAGCTCAGCGCAGCCTCAAACTCCTCCTCGCCACCCACGAATCTCGTCTTGGTGAAGTACTTGATCACGGCGGTGGATCCGTCCCTCACCACCGCCCTGTAGATCGACAGGCTGCTCTTCCTGGCCAGGAGGTACTTATCCGAGAAATAGTTCGTCGCCACCTCCAGTTCCTCCAGCCGATACTGGAAGCTCCTCATCGAGGATCCAACCAGGCTCTTCGGTGCGTTGATGCTTTGCATGGCCAGCGGCGCCACCAGGTGGAGACTGCTGCCTTTGCCGCCGCCATCGCCGCCGCTCTTGCTCTTGGTCTGCTCCGGAGAGAGAATGTCCATGATCGCCACCTTGATCCCACCGCTGCTGTCATGAGTACTGCTGATTCTCTGCTTGTGCCTCCGAAACCACACGAACGACATGAGCATCGCAAGCAGCACTCCGCCGGTGACGGCCACGACACCGCCGATGACCGCCATCTGCGGGATCCTGGACGAGGAGTTTGTGGAGAGAGGAGCACGCTTGGCTACGGTTTGAGCGACGGTGGCAGCGTTCCCTGGCTTGGCTTGCGGCTCCACGAGATTTGGAATGTGGCCGCGAGCTCGAGGATTCGTGGCTGTCGAAGGGCCCGTAGCAGCATGCTCCGGAGCGACCGCTCCAAAAGGCTGTGGACGCTGCAAGGATGATGCTCCGGAGCCGCTGCAGTAAGGAAGACTTGGAAAGCCCACACCGCACAAGCCAGTGTTGTTGCTGTAGGCAAATCCAGTTTCCAAGCTTCGCAGTCCTGCGCAAAACGATCGATCGTATAAGTTCTCGCGAAGATCACCACCAACTTAGAGTTTGAAGCGATGAGAAGTTTTCGCTTGCCTGCTGGGACATAGCCCGAGAGTTTGTTGCTGCGAACATCCAGAACAGTGATCTGGGCCAAGTTGTTTAGTGCCGCGGGAATGGGACCCGAGAGACTGTTGAAGCTGAGGTCCAAGTGCTTGAGCGACGAGAGCTGGCCCAGCGAGGCGGGGATCCGTCCGTCGAGATGGTTGTGCTGCAGTGCCAGGAGATTGAGCAAGCCGAGATGACCAAGCGCGTCAGGGATGGGACCACTCAGATCATTGCAGCAGAGCTGGAGAGCTGCCAAAGTTGAAACAAAGAAAGTTCTAGCAAAAGGAAGATGATGATGATCATGGGAAGAACCTTGGAGGTTGCGAAGAGAGGTGAGCTGCGAAGGAATGGCACCCGAGAGCTTGTTGACGTTGAGATAGACGTCGGTGAGACCAGTGAGCGATGCCAGTGACGATGGAATGCTCCCGGAGAGGCTGTTGTAATGAAGATACAAAGCTGTGAGCGAGGAGAGCTCGCCAATGGCCGCTGGAATGCTTCCCTCGAGACCCCTGCCTTGCAAAGAAACGTTGGTGACCCTTCCTCGCGAGTCACAGGCCACGCCCACGAATCCATCCTCCGCCCCACACGGATCTTTGCCCGCGACCCACGACGCCAAAACCTCACCTCTGGGATCCAAGCCGCGCTTCACGTCGAGTAGAATCGCGGCATCGCTGCGAGCTGCCCGAGCTCCCCCCAGCGCTGCTAATGCTGCTAGTGCCGAGAGCAATGCGAGAAGATGAGGCCTCGAGCCCATTGCGAGCTTGATCGATCGAGATGGAGCAATGCAGCTTAGCTACTAAGAGGAGGAGACGACCCAAGCGCCACTAAGACGCATCCTTACTTCGCTGGAGAGAGAACCGCGGCGGCCATCGCCATCAGTAGCAGCAGATTGCTTCCAGCGTGACGTGGCCGAGCCGGGACCGTCGATTCGACACAATTCACAAACGATCTCTAGCTCTGGCGGGGATCTCTCCTTTGCAAAAAACAAAGGCGCTCCCGTTTGAAAAAAAAGCTTCTTTTCTTCTCCTTTTGGGGGCTTTGTACGAAGAACTTTCAAGCTTCCATACCGAAAGAAGGACGCATCGTCGTCCTCCTCTTGTAACCTTCGTTTCTTTGGCTATGGCGGCTTTGAAAACTCTTTCTTTCATCTTCGTCTTCTTCGTCAAGTTGGTCCTCTTCTTCCAGGCTCACGTCCCCACACGCGACCTCGCATTGGTCGATCTGGAGCCCGAGCTGCTTCTCAAACTTGTCCACCACGAACTTCTCCCGCTCCTCGCATATGGTGAGCACGGTTCCACCGCGGCCCAGCCTCCCCGTCCGCCCAGCCCGGTGCGCGTAGTGCGTAGCATCCGTCGGGAGCTCCAAGTTGACGACGAGATCACACTCGGGAACGTCGATACCGCGAGCTCCAACTTCACTCACCACCAGCACCCGGATCTTCCCGGCCTTGAAAGCAGTGAGTGTGTTGCTCCGGCCAAGCTTTCCTTTGTCGCCGTGGAGGCAGCTCACGTCGATCCCTCCGGCCTGGAGCTTGAACATGGTGTCCTTGAGACGCCGCGAGAAGTTCATGAACACGAGCACGGACTGAGGATCCAGCGCGTTGATGCACCTCCGGAGCGTGGAGACGCGGTGCCTGGCGGGGCTGATCACGTAGCAATGCCGGAGGTTGGGTGGTAAGCTCTCCCGGGCTCCTCTCACGTCAGGATCACTCGACCACCTTTTCTGTTGTTGCGAATCCACCTCTGACGAGCTCTGGCTGGTTGACGTCGCTGCTGCGGCCTTGACGAGCAGTGGCTTGTGCCCCCAGTCCTCCGCAGCTTTCAGAAGAGCCGGCGGCATGGTCGCCGAGACGAGGATCGTCTGCCTCTCTAATCTTTGCGGCTGCGAGTTTGAGGAGGACGAGGACGAGGAAGAGGCTCTCCGAGTTCCAACATGCTCGAGGATTCGCTTCATGTCGTCGCGGTACTTCATGGAGAGCACCTGGTCCGCCTCGTCGAACACGAGAAACCGGCATCCGTGCGTGTGGAGCTTCCCTGCGCGGCTAAACTCGGAGATCCTCCCGGGAGTTCCAACGATGATCATGGGCTTGTTCTTCTTGAGAGCCTCGGCCTGGCGCTTCAAGTTGGCGCCACCTATGAGCTGCTGGACAAGCCGCCGGTGCTCGTCACCCAGGAGCTTCTCGGCCTCGCGGACGATCTGCATTGCCAGCTCCCGGGACGGCGCGACGATCACCGCGTCGATCGCGCCAGTCTTCCTCGCGGACTCGTCTCCTCCAGCGTCCGCGAAGGGCCCGATCGTGGAGAGAATTGGCAGCAAGTAGGCGAGCGTCTTCCCGGAGCCAGTGTAGGATTGCATGGCAGCGTCGTGGCCATCGAGGAGCACTGGGATGGCGGACGCTTGGACTTGCGTGGGCGACTTGAGATTCATCTCGTCCAGCTTCTGGACGAGCTTGGGTGACAGCTTGAGCGACGCGAATCCCTGTGCGCTGAAAGGACTGAATCCGGGAGATGGTCTCGTCACCTTGATCGATGGCTTCTTCATCTTCTCCGGCTTCGCGGTTCCTCCTCCTCCTTCCTTGTCTGGCGGAAGAAAACGAGAGTGCTGTGGTGTTCTTCCCTGGAGTGTTTCCTCCTCTTCCTCTTTCTGCGATGAATCAATGAGGAGAAGAACTAAAGAACTAAGATTTTCTTACCTGTTTGAGCAGAAGAGGAGATGGCGATGACCAATCTCGAGCGCTGCGCGAGGAAGCAATGTGGCTGGCACGCAGAACCAAGCGGCGGCTGCCCATGGCGGCGGCCATTGCGTGCTCCACACCCACGAACGCGCTCGTTGTGAGATTGAGCGCCATGTCTCTAAAACCCTAGCTAACACGCGTCACCATGACGATGGCGCTGGTGGACTCGTGATCTAGACGGGCCACCCACGGGACACGAGTGTGAGAAAGAAGCGCCCGATTTTATACGGTCGATCCAGGTAGAAAGAGAGGCAACGACGGCATGGACAAACTCTTTTAGGGGTTTCTCTTCTTCCATCTCCAGCTCTGGATCCCGCAGCTCCATGGACGCGATCATCCTCATGCCGCTGCGATCCAGTGCCAGCCTCCGCCATCCTCCGCCGCTGGCGAGAACGTCCTGTTCTTCCCCCTGCATTCTTCGCCCTCGCAATCCATGCGGCGCTGGGCTCCCCGCGCTTGGAAGCTCCACTGCCATCGTCTTGCTCCGGGATTGCAAGAGCAGGAAGAAGAAGCGCAGGATCTCTTGCGCCGCGGAGCATGCAGCCGCGGGATTGTCATCGTCTCTCCATGCACAGCCCGACATAGCTGCTTGGCTCAGCGCATTCTACCGCTTCACTCGGCCTCACACTGTCATAGGCACCGTAAGTTCTTCCCTTTTGATCGCTTTCTTCGCGACCATCTCCTTGGATCTCTTGCTCCAGGCAATTGGCATCGTCTCCATCTCCCTCCTCGCGGCCGAGAGCGTGGCGGACTTTCTCTCTTCGCGTTTCGCGGTGGGCCTTCTCCAGGTGAGTTCTTTCATCTCGATTTCTTTGCTAGCGCTCAGGACGCTTCTTCCAGGCTTTGATCCCGGCGCTACTGATGAACATCTACATCGTGGGACTGAACCAGATATCGGACATCGAGATCGACAGGGTGAAGCAGCCGAAACTTTTCTCTCTTTTTCTCATCGCTTGGTTACAAGAGTTTCTCCGTGGGTGTTTCCTTGCAGTTCAGGTTAATAAGCCATATCTTCCTCTTGCGTCTGGAGACTACTCGCTCGCGACCGGGGTCGCTCTCGTGATTGCGTCCGCGCTTTCGGTGAGCCACCTTTTCTTTCTTTCTTCCTCACGAAACTTACATGGATGCTCCAGAGTCTGGGAGTGGGATTCCTGGTCAAGTCTAGGCCACTTTTGTGGGCCTTGAGCGTCAGCTTTGTTCTAGGGACAGCGTATTCGATTCAGGTATGAAAAAGATTGGTCTTTCAGCCCGAAAAATCCGATTTTTCGAGTTTTTTGCAGCTTCCTTTCTTGCGATGGAAGCGGTCCGCGGTTGCTGCAGCCAGCTGCATTCTCTCGGTGCGAGCCATTGTCGTTCAGCTCGCATTCTTTCTTCACATGCAGGTGTGCTGTGTTTTTCCGTTTTGCCTGCTCGTAAACTTTGCAAATTCGCAGGCCTTTGTTCTCAAGAGACCGGCCTTCTATCCCAGATCGTTGCTCTTCGCCACCGCATTCATGTGTTTCTTCTCGGTCGTCATAGCCTTGTTCAAGGTAAGCTAATCTGGAAAAGTACGTATGTCATGCGTCTTTGTAGGACATCCCTGACGTAGAGGGCGATCAGACATTTGGAATCCAGTCGTTTAGTGTCCGGCTTGGCCAGGAAAAGGTCAGTTGCTCGTTTGGATTCTCAAGTTTTCTCACCTCTCTTTCAGGTGTTTTGGTTGTGCATTGGGCTCTTGGAAGCTGCTTACGCTTCAGCGGTGATCTTTGGGGCTATGTCTTCGTGTCTCTGGAGCAAAATCGCCATGGTGAGAGTTTCGTGATCATCGCTTTAGTTCTTACAAGTTTGCGTTGGATTCGTCTAGACGGTGGGTCATTCCGTGATCGCGGCGATTCTATGGATGCGATCCCAGAGCGTCGACTTGTCTAGCAAAGCAGCGATCTCGTCTTTCTACATGTTCGTCTGGAAGGTGTGTGGATTGTCTTTGATCTTTTCATCTCGTGATCTTTGATCTTGGTTTGATCTTCGTAGCTCTTCTATGCCGAGTACTTCCTCATTCCATTCATGAGATGATGAAAAAAGAAGATCCCGTTCCATTAATTTTTTTTTTGGGTAGAATAAAAGCATCTGATTTGGTTGCTGGACACGTGAATATTTGTTTCATGTGGTGGCAAGATATGGTGTTTGTACGTATTGATCATCGCAGATATCCAAACAAACAAAGGTTTAGAAATGGGGGAATACAAATATTCTCTTGTACGGACGAGTGGCCATGTGGCCCAAATAGTGGCACTGTGCTTGCGCATTGGGCATCCCATACCCATTGTGGCGCTCTCGAGGGTTTTCGGAGAGGAGCGCGGCGACAAGGCGATCAGATCTGCCGCTCGCCAATTCGTGCCATGTCCGATGCTCGCCTACGCGCTCGTTGGAGTGGGATGATGGAGCTCCCGGGACTGGTAAGCGCGGCGCCCGCGCCCTTTGTAGCGATAGCGGTGTAGCCAGCAGCTGGGGGAATTTCTACACTAGGATTTTGGATTCGTGGTCGCGGGGGCATGATCTAGCGCGCGCCGGGGGAGAGGAGCTCGTCTAGGTCGCAGCGATGTTTATGGTTCCATCCCCTCCCCGGGCCGCGAATGCGCCCAAGAAAGTGACGGGCAAGACGCGCGTCTACCAGGTGTGGAAAGGAAGCAATGTAAGTTTCGCGAGACTTCCTTTGGAAGTTCCCAAGGCTTTGGGAAGCTAAAGGAACATTTTTTGTGTGTGTTCTTGCAGAAGTTCTTCTTGGGTGGAAGGCTCATCTTTGGACCCGACGTGAGATCTCTGCTGGTAACTCTCTTCCTCATCATCGTCCCGGTTGTGATCTTCTGCGTGTTCGTCGCGAGCCGGTTACGCGACAAGTTCTCCAATGACAGGAGTGGGATTGCGATACTCGTTGTCACTGTTGTATACACCGCATTTGTAAGTCCCTGTGCTCTTTCCTCCATGCTTTTGCTCTCTCGTCTTTGCTCACTTCTTCGTTTCGTTTTCTTTCTTCTCGTCCAGGTACTCGTCTTGTTAATGCTCACCTCTGGAAGGGATCCGGGGATCATCCCCCGGAACCCGCATCCACCGGAACCCGAGGCCGAGGAAGAGCTGGTTCCGACTTCTCCGACTGACTGGTCTGCCGGTGGTCTCACGCCTCGCTTCAGATTGCCACGAACCAAGGACGTGATCGTGAATGGCGTCTCGGTGAAGATCAAATACTGCGACACTTGCATGCTCTACAGGCCGCCTCGCTGCTCGCACTGCTCCATTTGCAACAATTGCGTCCAGCGCTTCGATCATCACTGTCCTTGGGTTGGGCAGTGCATTGGCCTGGTACGCTTGCTTGGTCTCTTCGCTTCTTCGTTTCTCATCTTCGTCTCGTCCTGTGTTTCTTGCAGAGGAATTATCGGTACTTTTTCATGTTTGTCTCCTCGACAACGCTCCTCTGTATCTACGTGTTTGGAATCTGTGCGCTGTATATCAAGCTCCTCATGCACGACCACAGCTACACTGTATGGAGGGCGATGGGGAAGTCGCCACCATCTGTACTTCTCATGGCCTACACCTTCATTGCGGTGTGGTTCGTCGGCGGCCTTACGTTCTTCCACCTGTATCTCATGAGCACTAATCAGGTACGTCTTTCTTGGACGTACTATTACAGCTTGGTTTAGCGATCGTCGTGTGTGATATGTTGGTGCAGACCACGTACGAGAATTTCCGGTACCGTTATGACAACAAAGTGAACCCGTATAACCGTGGCGTGTTTCACAACCTGTACGAGATCCTGTGCAGTCCAGTTCCCAAGTCGTTCAACGTTTTCCGTGCCAGAGTCCAGGCCGACGGCTCGCTCCCATCCTCGACAAACTTGCAGCCAGTAGCGTCCAGCAAGCCTCGCAACGCCGTCAGCTCGGAGCCCGTCAAGGACATCGAGGCCGGATCCAAGCCTTCGTGGGCGCTGGGAGGGGAGCACTTGATCGACGAGGCCGCCTTCGCAGACCTCCACTGCCGAGTGAGCAACGTCGACACGGCCGCGGCGGAAGCCAAGGACAACTTGGGCATGGAGGACACATTCGCTCACGCGTTTGGGAGGCTCCCGGTGATGGAGGGTGGCGGCGGTGGTGGCGGCGGCGGTGGCGGTGGCGATGCAAAGGGGGGGATCATCCATCCCCGCCGCTCCAGCTGGGGACGCAAGAGTGGCAGCTGGGAGATCACTCCCGACATCCTGGGATTGTCCTCCGGCATTGCAAGCGAAGGTGGTGGTGGTGCTCGGCCCAACGGAGATAGCACACCACCCGGGAACCGATGATACTACTACATACACAAACATACATATATTTCTTGCCAACAAGTTGAGAACTCAAGATCAATCTTTTCAGTCCCTGGGTTGGCGGCGTTTGGTTGAAACAGGCCCGATTTCTCGCAACAAGAAGAAGAAGAAGAAGAAGAAGAAGAAACTTACAAGACCACCCAAACGGCAGTTGGTGTCAGCTGAAATTGTGAAGCACAATTTCCTCCTCGGATTCCTAAAATAGCTGCGCTGCTGCCATGGGTTTTGTTTGGTTTGGGTTTTGGATTTCTAGGTAGAGCTACGCGCTGGTAATCAAATCATCGTAGCAATGGGTTTGATGTACGCTCGCATTATATGTAAGAGAGGGGGTGTTTAATGAAGGTGGTGGCAATTTGCCAGGTGGGTACCGGAGCTATGATGCATGGGTGGTAGAATACAAGAGAGAGAGAGGCTCGTTTTGTTTGCTTGTACAAACCAGGCCAAGAATGGAACTTGCGAGCTCCTCCGCTTGATCCATGCTGCTGCTTTGCGCCGCCGCCACCACCAGCGCCGCCACGGGCAAAGCTTTTGATCCATCGATGAGATTCGCGGTATGCATTTTGGGTGATGTTCGCTTGCTTGTTCTACTTCTTCTTCTCTCCTGGGATGGATCGATCGCCATCGCGCAGCGCTTGAGCGGCGGGAATGGAGGCGTATGAGGCGACCAGGATTGTCTACTCACGTGTCCAGGCCGTGGATCCGGATAACGTGTCCAAGATCATGGGATATCTCCTCCTTGAGGATCAAGGCGAGCGCCAGATCTTCGGCTTGGCCATGGGTCCCGACGCGCTGCTCCAATCCGCGGTGGCCAGGGCGAGAATGCAGCTGGGCTTGCTCGACTCCGCCAGCGCCACCGCCAGCGGCAGCGCTGCGGCGCCGACCCAAGTCATGCTCCAGCCGCCATCGCCATCGCCGCCGCCGCCGCCGCCGCCTCGAGGAGTTGATCACATCCATTCTCCTCCTCCTCCTCTGGGCTCCGGATCATTCCAGCGGCGGCAGCACAGCAGCGGCGCCGCTAGCTTCTCCGGCGGTGTGTTTCCCAATGACCACTTCTACCCGGAGACGTTCGCGTTCCTCAACAGCAGCAAGATCAAAGCCGAGACGTCGGGCGCGGGGTGGCCGCTCGACGGTCCCGGGGACGATCACATCCATTTGCGCTGGTCGTGCTGTTGCAACTGGCCCAAGCCTTGCGTCTACTACTCGCGGGGATTCTGCAAGCACGGCTCTAGCTGCCGCTTCTCGCACGATCACATCGTCGATCCCTCCTCGCCGGGGGGGCCAGACCCTCCTGTCGATGGCCAGGGACCCCAGCACGATCATCCTCCTCCTCCAGAGCAGCAGCAGCAGCAGCAGCAGCAGGCGGGAGATGGATCATCACCATCGCCGTCTTCGCTGGAGCGATTGGACCGCGAGCTGCAGGAGCTCCTTTCCAGCCGCACCTCGCCGGTTTCCATCGCCGCGCTGCCGCAGCTCTACTACGAGAGATTCGGGAGGCCGTTGCAAGCCGAGGGGTACCTGACCGAGAGCCAGCGGCACGGCAAGTCGGGCTACAATCTCACCAGGCTCCTGTCCAAGCTCAAAGGAAGCATCACCGTCATTGATCGGTGAGTGACCTCTTCTCGATCTCTCCTTGCTTGTTCTTGCTCCTTGTCCACCATCGCCCTCCTTGTTTCGGGGAAAGGTAGCTCCTCTCTCACTCTCTCCCTCTCGAATGTTTCTTTCCAGGCCCCATGGCCAGCACGCGGTCGTCCTGGCCGAAGACGCGCACAAGTTCGCCACCTTCGCAGGCGAGCATTACGATCTGAGCGGCGTGAATCCGAGCTCCAGACAGATCTACCTCACGTTTCCGGCCGAGAGCTCCTTCAGCGAAGATGATGTCAGCACTCACTTCAGGTAAGTCGTCCTTGTATTGATTCCATTCCATGTTGGGTGTTACGGTGTTTCCATCTTTCTTCCATGCACAGAGCCTACGGCCCAGTCCAGGACGTCCGGATACCCTTCCAGCAGAAGCGAATGTTTGGCTTCGTCACCTTTGTGTACCCCGAGACGGTCAAGATCGTTCTCTCCGAAGGGAATCCTCACTACATCTGTGGCGCCCGAGTGCTCGTCAAGCCGTATCGCGAGCGAGGAAAGCATGGAGACAGGTTTGGTGCTTAGATCTCTACTGGCGCTCTTGAAGAGATTCCTTCGTTTTGTTTTTGTCACCGCAGGAAACATCTGGACAAATCCGATTCTTCCAAGTACGTGGATCTCGCGAGCAAGGACAGCAGCCACGGTAACATATCTTATCGCGTTGGATTCCGCTCGAGATAAGCTGATCGAATTTGTCTCGCTCGCAGTGTTGAGCTTCCACAACGCTGGCCGTTTCCAATCCCAGGATGATCCTGGGATTTCTTCCGCCAGCTTCGAGCGCTCCGACAGGTGAAAAATGGCTCTGAGGACGCTGATAATCGCGTTTCTAACGAAGGGAAGAGTGTTTTGGCTCCAGAATAACGTTCGGGGCGGCCGATAAGAAGTTGACAAACTGGGTCACTGCTGCTGCATCGTGTCCTTCACAAAGGAGTCAAGAACAAACGCTTTGCACGAGAAATCTATAGAAAGGTGTTGTACCTCCATTTCTTTTTTCTTCTTCCTTCTCCACTAATGATATGATCTTCATCCTGCCAGAGAAAGAACCAAAAAAGAACGAACAAAATACATACATCGTCATGATTTTACAAACCCAAAGCACGGGGAGGAGCTGCATGAACTTTGGCGTGGCCCTTTCGATAGAGAACACCTTTTTTTTTTTCCTTCACTAGGATCTTCTCTAACAGGCTTACCGCGAGGGACGGTCCTGGACAGTATTCCTACGTACGAAGCTATAACTCTGCTTGACGATTGTCATGAATATAATACACCAAATGCATACGTACCTCTTTACCCATTACACAAGAGTGATCGTGCAAACTACATAGGGCTCGAGAGCTCTAACAAAACCGTAGCGTTCATTTGTTTACTGGTTCACTGGTTTTGGATGCTTCCCTCTCCGCGCTCTTCTTCTTTTCTCTGCGGCCACGAGAAGCGCGCTAGCAAGTCAGCCACTGGCAAGAAAAGATCTAGACACTACACACAGACCTGTCAATGTACTCCTTGAGTAGGTCCTTGGCCTGCGAGAGCTTGGTCAAGAGATTTCGGTACACATCCAGGTCTCTATCCACGCTCATCTTGCTCACGTTCAGCGCATTGCAGAGCTGCGCAGCAGTGACGAGTAAAGTGACGAACAGGCCGCGAGCACAACTCTCACCTTCTCCAAGACGGCCGGATCGGAGGCGTTTGCCCGTTCCACCAGCCGGAACAAGCCGACCGCAAAGAAACGGCTGTAGTGAAAGCTCGTCTTCCCGGCGGCGCGCTGTGCGATATCCTTGAGGACCTCCTCAACGTCGCCGTCGCCCGAGTTAAAAGACGCGAGGGACGAAGCAGTCTGTGAGGATGCCCATTCCTCGAGCTTTTTAGCGTCTTTCCTGCGATACCGAAGCGAAAGTAGAAAGTGAGGAAGCGAGCATCAAACAACATAAAGAAAGAAGACCTGTACTGATCGGGGTCTTCTCCCAAAGCTTCGATGTAGGCCTTGAAGATGGCTTCGCTGTCTTGCGCGTTCGGGTAGCCGTCCATGAGCTGGTCGTAGACAGTCACAAAGCCGAGAGCAAACACCGCATCGTACTTGTAAGTGGCGTTGTATCGCATCAAGTGCTGCTGGACGAGGAGCTCCTGCAAGACGTTGTTGTAAATGCTGGGTATCGGCTTCCGGAAAGCCTTGAGGAATGCCGACTTGGTATCGGCCACAGTTGGAACATCTCCTGCGTTGGATCGAGCAAAGAAATCGAAAGAAAAAACTGTTAGAATGGATAGATCACAAAGCTAGACTCTCAGGAAGAAAGAAAGAAAGAGGCCAGACACACAGACAGCGAAGAACCAAAGCTATATCACACACACAAACACAAAGAAAACAATAGAAGAAGCGAATGCCAAACAAGAATCCATGGCTACCTAGGGAAGATGATAGCAATCTCGTGAAAGTGAGTACCAACCAGCAGCGACCGCCGCTGCGCACGCAATACTGCAATGCGGAGGATGGAAGATGCGCTGGGACGAGGAGCTCGCAGCGTCACACCCTAAAAATCTCCACCTTACAATCCTGGCCAGTGTTACGCACCTCGCGACGCCCAGATTGATCGCGGGAGCTTGATCGCAGCGATGGAATGTGGTCACTGCCGATAGCGCTGCCATAGCTAGGGACTAGCGGCGAGAGAGCGAGATTGTGCGCCACATCGCCTTATCCATCCCCACCATGTCATTGCGAGGAGTGATGACGTGTCCCCAATAAACCCTAAATCACAGTGCTCGTCTTCTTTCTTTCGCGTTTAGGGCGATGGCGCCCAAGGCCGCGGCTGGCGCCAAGGGCAAGGACGCGACGGCGGAGCGCCAGATCCTCGGCAGATTCTCGTCCCATCTCAAGATCGGCATTGTGAGTGCTCCATTTCTCGGCCGGGAAGAAGAAATTCTCGCCTCGATTGATTCTGGCTTGCATTGTTCGCAGGTGGGGCTTCCAAATGTCGGCAAGTCCACTCTCTTCAACACGCTCACCAAGCTCTCCATTCCCGCCGAGAATTTCCCCTTTTGCACCATCGAGCCCAATGAGGCTCGAGTGTCGGTTCCCGACGAGCGCTACAACTGGCTGGTCCAGCACCACAAGCCCAAGAGTGAGGTAAGCTACGATTTTTTGTATCGATCGTGATTTTCTCGAGAGTTTCTCTCGTTTCGGTTGATATAGGTGTCGGCTTTTCTGGAAGTGCACGATATAGCTGGGCTCGTCCGAGGTGCCAACGAAGGCCAGGGCCTCGGGAACAATTTTTTGTCACACATCCGGGCCGTGGACGGGATCTTCCATGTCATTAGTGAGTTCGCCACTTCATATCTTTTGATTTGATATCGTCATGCCTTGGGTTTCAGGAGCTTTTGACGACGTGGATGTGATTCACGTAGAAGACAGCGTCGATCCCATCCGGGATTTGGATATTATCACGCTGGAGTTGCGACTCAAGGTAGTACTGTTTAGTTGCGCGAGAGCTTGCTTCAACTGCTTATAGGATCTAGAGTTCATCGAGAGACGAATCGAAGACATCGACAAGGCGTTGAAGCGGAGCAACGACAAGCAGCTCAAACTGGAGCTCGAATGCTGCCACAAGGTTGGCGTTTGAGCTTGAATGGCACGGCACAGGTTGTAACACTTGAATGCGGTTGTGCTGCTTTTTAGGTGCACGAGAGTCTCAAGCAAGGCAAGGACGTCAGGCTCGTGGAATGGAAGCAGTCTGAGATAGAGTTCCTTAACACATTCCAGCTGCTTTCGGCAAAGCCAGTTGTATACCTGGTACTGTCTCGATTGCTTCCTTCTTTCTGAGCTTTTGAAGAGTTATGGCGCAGGTGAACATGACGGAGAAAGACTATCTGCGTAAGAAGAACAAGTGGCTGCCGAAAATTCACGCCTGGTAGGCCACTCGCTGTTGAACGCAGACTCTTCTCAGCCTAGCACTGTGTGTTCACAGGGTTCAGGAGCATGGAGGGGACCCCCTCATTCCCTTTAGCGGAGTGCTGGAGCAAAGGCTAGCAGACGCGCCTAGCGATGAAGCAGCGGTTCAGAGGTACATAATCCGTTTTCAGCTCTGATGTGGATCGTCTTGTGTTCTTCAGCGCTTTGCCAAAGATTATCAAGACGGGGTTCGCGGCCATCAACTTGATATACTTCTTCACGGCTGGTCCTGACGAGGTATTCGTGATTCAGTTTATCTTTTGACGTTCTTAGCTCGTGCTTCTCTTGAAGGTGAAGTGCTGGCAAATAAGGAAGCACTCCAAGGCTCCCCAGGCCGCCGGCGCAATCCACACTGACTTTGAGAGGGGATTCATCTGTGCAGAGGTAGATATGCAGCTTTTCATTCGTTCATTGGTGCAAATTAAACCTTTTCTCAGGTGATGAAGTTTGAAGACCTCAAAGAACTTGGATCCGAGGCTGCTGTCAAGGTAAAAAATGGATTTTGGGTGATTTGCAAGGAAGTATTTGTGTGTTTTGTCTTCCAGGCTGCTGGCAAGTACAAGCAGGAAGGCAAAAACTACGTCGTGCAGGACGGAGATATCATCTTCTTCAAGTTCAACGTGACAGCGGCCAAGAAGTGAAATTCTACGCGATCGATCCCTAGTTTTGTTTTGTAACATCCTAAAGGCAATCAAGGAAAAGAGAAGGTTTTGCGCTGCCCTAGGCTAGAAGTTCCAATGGGTGATGGTGTTCTTGCGGTGGAGCGCTTCGCTGAGGCGAGGGCTCCCGAGCTTGAATCGCTCTTCGCAGCGCTGCAAAGTTCCGGTAAGTCCAGCGATGGGCTGGCGTCCATCAAGCGCAGGACTAAGAGCCACAATCGCCGCAAGCACCGCTTCTGGAACCACCAGGAGAAGAAATCCAAGAAGAAAGCCAATGCCAGCGCCAGTGCCAATGCCAATGCCGGGGACAAGGAAGATGGAGTGGTGGAAGGCGAGGATAAGAAGAGGAAGAGGGAGCTCAAGGTGGCTTCCTTGTCTAGGCGTGTCCGGAGAAGAGTAGAGCTTCAAGACGTGGTAAAAGGGAAGGGAGGCTCTTGCAAAGATGGAACTCGACGCCTTGTTACTCATGTGTGGCATGCCAAGCGCTTCTACATGGCCAAGCGCTGGGGATACTGGCTTTCCAGTGGCATCCCTGGAAGGTTTGCTCTCTTGTGGTGATTTTCTTTCGTCGCTTAGATCTCATCCAAGTTCCAGGGGACGATGCGCAGCGACTGTGTTGAGATGGCCTGATCGTGGAGCTGTGCTGCACGACGCAAGCTACTACAGTGCTATCCAGCTCGAAGGTCCTCAAGTAACTCGATTCGTTGCCTCGCAGCGTATTGCCAGCATTGCTAACTCTCTCGCTTTGGCTCTACCAGGAGGAGTTGTCACGAGTTTTGGGACTGGTTTTGGAGCCACTGGCTGGGAATGTCTCTCGTGTGCCATGCTACGTGATCGCTATGGTCAGTTTTTCACTTTTCCAATGAGTTCTTCGTTCTTCTCATGGTTGGTGTTTTCCTTTCTTTTTCTTTATTTTGATCTCAGGCTCATCACTGTGGGAAGGTGCCGCTGTCTTGCATTGCTCCTGTCAAGGTGGTCTTTTGTGCGGACCATGAGAAGCTGTGGATCTTCGTTCATGCAGCTGCATTTGATGAGGTCTTCGAGGCAGTGCAAAACGCTTCCCAGGTTTGTGAACGTTCGCTAGCGTCGTCTAACAGTTATAACAAGCTTTACTTTGCAGGGCATTTCTAGTGTTACGTGTAAGTCGAGGAAAGACGAGCTTGCTACTTTGGAGATTTTTGGGAAAGAAACCTTCCAACTTCTGGGTAAAGTGATGAAACCTGGGTGCGTCAAAGAGTCTGTTTTCATTCAAGGACTGACTTGAAAAAACTTTGCAGGTCTGATGGCACGTCTTCTTTTGAAGGACTTTTGAGCAAACTTTCAAAGCAGGCATGTGTAGAGCTGGAAGTTTGTGACCCTCGACATCGTTTCCTTTTAGAGAGCGATCCGGCTGTCCCTGTCGAGAACGAAACGACGAGAAACGAGCGTCCTGTCCCACAAGTAGAGGAGACTATCAACAATCTGGACGCAACATACTGGCAAGCTGTCATGGATCAACAACCAAAGGCCGAACAAGGCAGCACTTCGAGACTATGGGGTCCGTCCAGTGCTGTTGAGCCTCCACCATCTGACAAGACCGTAAACAAAAGGCAGCAAGCTCATCGCTTGTCCCACTTTCGCTTGGAAACCAAGGACGCGGAGCCTCCCTCCTGGAAGAAATGTCCCATTTTGCTGATGAAATACCAGCAAAAAGCCTTGAACGGGTGAGTTCTTTGCTTTTGTTTCTTCTCACCATCACTTCAACTCTGAAACTTGAAGGTGCTCGCTTGTTCTTCCCAAGAGCTGGGTCCACGCATTCTGGATGTCGCTAGTGCTTGCTGGAGCTCGTGTGATCGGTCAGGCAGAACGACGCTGGATCATGACGCACGTACGTTGGCTCTCGAAAGTCTTTAGTCTGTCAAACTCAAACTCGTGATTTGGCCTGTCAGGGAGGGATATCTTCATTCCCGCACGACTTTCCAGACTGTCCGGCGTACAAAGAACTCTCAAACCATGAGAGAGACGGCGATGAAGAGATGGAACAAAGTCCAACGCCCGTGGATCGAGAGGAGAGCAAAGTCTCGCTGTTTGTCCCGCGAACGGCGCTTGTGCTCTCGGCGTATCTGCAATTACACGATCTAACTCTCTCCCAGTTCAAGCCAGTGACTGCTACTAGCTGGACCATGCCTTCCACACCCGGAGCCTGCTACCTCAAGGTGATGATCCAGCCTGCGCGGAAGGGTGTTCCGGAAGAAGGCTGTCTTCTCTATGCTCCAACTTTGCAAGACTTCCATGGGTGGCTTGACAGGTGAGCTGAGCTCTTCAGGATTTGCGTGTTTATGCTTCATGTTTTCATCTGATCAGAGCGCAGAAGTGGCAAGGTTTGGAAATTGAGAACCAGGACGGAAGTGAGATCCGGGACAGGATTGGTTTCGTTACTTCAGCACCTCCATGGCGAAGGTTGGCTCTTCTTTTTTTGTGAACTCGCTGTTCATTGTGTTGCATGATTTATGCAGTGGAGACGCGGCCATCGCGTTTTGCGACGCCAGCCAACTTTGCAAGCTCCGGCATTGGCAAGAAGCTGAATCCGCTGAGAGCTTTGGCAAGGACGCCAAGGGGATTCTTGTGTTCTTTCACAATCCGAGATCATCCAAGCTCAGGCCGGCATTGGCATTAGTAAATCTAGAGCTCGAAAACTAACCAAGTTGGTTCATCGTTGGAACTTTCTCGGCTCTGGCACACTCGATCTCACGATTCAATGGGAAATTTCTCGACCCCACCACACGCGATCTCGCTGTCAAGAACAGAAGTTGGCGGGCCAAGTTTTTTTTCTGCTAGACAAGTGCCTTGCTGCTTGTTGACGACTGTGTGGAGAAGTTACTACTCGGACAGACTTAAAGTTGTAGCTTCCTTTTTTCTTTTGCTGCTTGTGAATCCACAGACACGAACTATTAATTGTAGTCTTGTAGTAACTCTAGAGATGGAGAAGCTGTCTTGAGTGTCTATAGATCGTGTAACACCACTGGTAAATGGTTCTTGGTGCTGATCTTTGGGAAGTTGATCACTTTCTCTGGCTCCGCTTCCCATCTACACACATACGCACCAAGGAAGTACTGAGAATTCGGAGGATGGGGTATTTGGACAGACCTGAATTGAGTCACAAAGTGATGAAGAAACACTGCAGTTTGTACTTTGGCCAGTTCTTGTCCCGGGCAAAGTCTCGCCCCTCCTCCAAACGGCAGCACATACGATGATGGAATGCTTCTCTGTTGCAACCAAGTTGCAAAGTTGCAAGAATGAGAAGTAGTGCTTAATACCTCTAACCAGCGCCAGGGGTGGAACTTGGTGGGCTGTGGAAACATCTTCTCATCGAAGTGAATGTTGAGAAAATAAGGAAGAACTGTCCAGCCTTTTGGGATCACATAGCCTGGAAGAGAGAAAACACCATGATGTAACACTTCCCAAAAAGTCGGAAGATTTCACCTCGGAATTCCACGTCCTTGAGTGCCTTTCTCATCACTCCTTGAGCCCCATTTGCCAGGCGGAGTGTCTCATTGAAAACCTGCGCTCAAACAATGCGTAGAAACAAAGTTTGTCTGAAGTATGGGCATATATACCGCGTGAGTGAAATCTAGCGACATGTATTCATTCCATGTTAGGCCCTCGCTTGGATCTTTTCCCTTTCGGATCGCGAGATTTTCCTCCTGGAGACAAGAGTTCCATGCAGCGTTAGCCAGGGATGAATAGTTCTTACTCTGATCTGTTCCAGAGCTTTGGGATTCTCCGACAAATTCTTGACTGCAAAGGCGATGATAACCGCTGGAATGCCCTCTGCGTTTGCAATGTTGATGAGGGCATTGTCGACGATGATCTGGTCCGCGTCTCTCTCCTCTTGCTTAATCTCCTCGATCAAGGCATTGAGGATGTCCTTGTGCTCGATGTCTGGCCGAGATCTCCGGAACGCTACCATGCCACTTATGATCTTGGTCAGCTTCTTACGTGCCTGAAAGATTGGAAGCAAAGTCACTTAGATCTACGCAAAATAAACATGAAGAAGGGGGTGTTCTTGCAGAGCACCTTCATGGCCCGGTGGTATGGAGTCCCTGGTATCATCAATGGGATTCCAATTATACCCCCCATGAGCCTGTTAAATTCCTCGAAGATCGTTGCCGAGAGCTTGCCTGGCTCCAGGCCAAACAGCTGCTTCATCAGAAAGTCGTGCGTGATCTGGCAAGAGTTTTACAAGATTATTATATGAGGATCATATATGCTGGAGAATAATGTACCCTCTGGATTTCGTCCTGGAGCAAGATCTTGGTGCCCCTGCTCCACGTACTCATCCCTTGCTTGGTCAGGAGCTCCATCTCGCGAGTGAGGTGCTTCTTGAGAGGCGTGGAGCTCACAAACCTCTTGAGCATGGCGTGCATTCTCTTGTGGAGCTCGCCGTGCTGGAAGAGCATTGCGTGCTCTCCCAGCACGTCCTTGAGCGATCGAGGGTAGCCAGACTCAAACAGCACCCCCTCGTTGTGGAGCACAAACTTGACGCCCTCCACGTCCGTGATCATGATCGTCTTGCCCGTGAGCAAGCTCGTCTTGAACACCGTCCCATACCTTTCCACACAAAGATCATATCAGCATTCACAATCCAGCAACAAGATCATTGTATAGGTACTTCTTTTCCCTCTCCATTGGGAAGATGTAAGGAGCCTCGGAGCGAGCAATCGTCACGTAAGGAATGAGCTCCCCAATGAGAGGCCATCCCATGCTTCCAGGGGGGAGCCTCTCCAGCTTCCGGAACCTCCATGATCGCCAGTAAACAAGCGCCACGAGCCAGAGAGCTCCGGCGATCCCTGCTATGGACGTCCACACCATAATTCTCGAATCCACCATAGCTGTCCTACCTCGCTCGCTCACTTTGCGGCTCTCGAGAGAGAGGAAAGGTAAAGAGAGAAAGAAAGAGGTTTTCAATAAGACATTGGCTGGAAGAACTTACGTGCACACATTGGAACCTTTCGTCTCGCAGCTGCCGATGCGTCGCTGTCTGCGGGACTTACTTACCCAGCTGCCCTTCCGGTCAAGTGATGCGTTGAGCAAACTTATTCAACGCAGGGTTGACCTACAAACTCAGCTGGCTTTTCGCTCGCTTATTCAACGCAGAGTTGACCCACAAACTCAGTTGGCTTTTCGGTCGCTTACAATTCCAGTCGGTGGAAAAACAATGCAAAGTGAAAAAAAATCAAACCCACACAATTGTTTGTTTTCAGTAAGTCAACTCGAGTCAATTGTGAGTCAACTCGAGTCAAACTTATTTTGTACCGAAAAGTGCACAAAAGGGTACGGACGTCGTTTTCCACGTGACTGCTGACGTGGCAATGGAATCGCCACACGTCACGAGAACGTGGAGCCGAGTCCAAAAGAAAAATCACACAGGCGTGTGTGGCCATGGCCGAGTGAAGGATTTCGGCGCCAGTGGCAGCTTCTATGAAAGGCGCGAGGAAAGCTGCACGGATCTCTGTCTCTCCGCCTCTCTCAAATCGCATCCAGGCGAGCAGGGCGCGCCAGAAATCTCCACTCGTTTTTCCAGGCTTTCCATCTTCTCCCCCATCAATCGATTGCCAGCGGCGCAGGGTGAAAGAGGGGCGGAGGAGCGCGCGCGCGAGCGAGCCAGCTGTTGTGATGCGCGGCACCGATCCGTGGATCTCGTGTCGGTGTTGCTCCTCGGATGGGCAACTCTTGCTGCTTGAGCCTGTGCGATTTGCTCCTGGGCGCCGAGAGTGAAGATCCACGCGTGCTGTGCCACACTTGCTCCATTCATCCCGGCGGCGGCGCTGGTGGCGGCGGCGCTGGTGGGCGCTGCCGAATCGTGGCTGGCGCGAGCGACCAGGGCATCGGCGACAACTACGAGCTGGGCGAGGAGCTGGGCAGGGGCCAATTCGGCGTCATCCGGCTGTGCCGCCATAGATCCACCGGCGAGCGCCTGGCTTGCAAGTCCATCGCCAAGGCCAAGCTCACGTCGGCGGCTGACGTGCGCGACGTGCAGCGCGAGATCGAGATCATGCAGCAGCTGGCCGGGAATCCACACATTGTGGGCTTGCGCGACGTGGTGGAGGACGACGAGTCCGTCCATATGGTGATGGAGCTGTGCGAGGGCGGCGAGCTCTTCGACCGGATCGTGGAGAGGAAGATGTACTGCGAGCGCGACGCGGCGCGGGTGTGCAAGACGGTTGTGGAGGTGATCCAGTGCTGCAACGCGCGCGGGATCATCCACCGGGACCTCAAGCCCGAGAACATCCTGCTGGTGGATGCGGCGAGCAACTCGCGGATCAAAGTCGCGGATTTCGGCCTCGCTGTCCACTTCCACCCAGGTGAGAGCAGCGTTTTCTTTATTTCTTGGTGCTCTGGTGGTGGTGCTAGTGGAGTGGTGATGAGATTCGAGTGTGGAGTGAGAGAGGGTGGCGGTTCTCTTTCCACTGCCTAGTTCTGACGCTTCGATTGATCGATCAATGTTACAGGCGAGACGCACTCGGGCATGGCTGGCAGCGCGTACTACATCGCTCCAGAGGTTTTGAGGGGCGAGTACGGGCCAGAGGTGGACGTTTGGAGCGCGGGCGTGGTACTGTACGTGATGCTGTGTGGCGTCCCACCGTTTTGGGACGAGACGGAGGAGGGCATCTTTGATGCTATTCGCTATGGCCACCTTGACCTCTCCAGCGACCCCTGGCCAAAGCTTTCCGCCTCGGTCAAGCGCCTCGTTCGCGGGATGCTGTGCCAGGATCCCAGCAAGCGCCTCACTCCGGCTCAAATCCTCAGTACGTTCGTCGAGTTCGTTCGTTCTTGTTGATCGATGGGAAGAAACTCAAGCTTTTGTTTGGTTTGATGGTTCCAGATCACGAGTGGATCGTTGAGCATGCAAGCGCGGTGGACAAGGAGGAGGAGGTGTCGCCGACGCCGGGAAGCAGCCTTGCGAGGGTCAAGCTGGGGCGTCGCAGCATCAACGCCGACTTGGGATCGTGGAGATCGTGGCAGACGACGACGAGCTCGAGCAGCAGCGATAGCGACACCGGGTTCTTGGAGGGGCTCTTGAACGATGGCCAGGACAGGGTGGCGGAGGACGATGAGAATAGGAGCACGGCAGTGGGATCATCGAAACATCGTGGTGATCGTGATGGTCGGGACCGGATTGAGAGCTCGGTGATTGTATCGGGGAAGACGACGATGACTCCGACACCTCCAACGGCCGCTAGCGTGCCTTTGTACCTCACTACTCCGTGCCGGCCCCTCGACGCTTGTTACGATGCTACACGGCTCTTCCAAAGGCAGGTGTCGAGCGGCGCGTGATCGAAGCGAAGCGGTCGAGACGATCTAGCCGATTTTTGGTGGTGCATGGTGGTGTTTTTTGCAAGTTTCGAGTGACACCACCGCTCCACACATTTATTTCGTTCATCCAGATGGTGGGCGATTCTTCTGTTTTTTCTTTCTTTTCCTTCCATTCTCTTTCTCTCGGATTGATCGACGCTAAGATATGTTCTCGGCTGGAACTATTTTTTGGCTACACAAATAAACGGTTAGCTTAAGTTTGTATAAAACTCTTGCTTGGGTGGATGGAGAGTCGCTGTAGACAAAAAAAAAAAAAAAAGAGAGATTTTTAGTGTGTCTGAGCGACGATTGGGACCGGGTTTAGGGCGAGAGGAAGCGCCTTTGTCTAGGAATTTCATGTCGAAAAAGGAAGAGCATTGCAATGGAGGCGCAGCCCGAGTCCCTGACGCGATTGCTCCAGTTTTCGGTGCTTCCAATCGCCAAAGTTCTGGTCATGTGTGCGCTGGGATTGCTCATGGCCTCCTCCTACATCAACATCCTCAACGCCACTTCGCGTAAGCAGCTGAGCAAGGTAAGAGAGAAGCAATCCACTCCATGTAGATCCATCCATGGCTGCCTTGTTCCAGCTCGTCTTCCAAGTGTTCTTGCCGTGCCTCATCTTCACGCAACTGGGAACAGCAGTGACCCTAGAGAAGCTGCTGGAATGGTAGTCAAGAAGCGCTGACTTCCGGAACTTACGTGGTCCTTTTTGTCAACAGGTGGTTCATCCCAGTCAACGTGCTTCTCTCCTCCACACTGGGCTGTTTGCTCGGCCTGCTCGTGGCGCTGCTCATCAAGCCACCGCCGCGCTTCTTCAAGTTCACCATCGTCATGATCGGCATTGGTATGTTCTTCCTCGCTCGCTTGCTTTTGGATCCCGGAGCTCCATGAATCATGTCCCCGCAGGAAACATTGGAAACATACCTTTGGTTCTCGTGGGAGCGATTTGCCGGGACAAGAACAACCCCTTCAACGATCCAGACACTTGCAACACTGACGGCGTTGCGTATATATCCTATGGACAGTGGGTACGTATTCCAGTTTTGCTCCTGGTAGAGCTCATGGCGTATGTTCCATTGTTTTTGCTTCTGATGTTTTCTCTACTTCTGTATATAGGTGGGGGCAGTGATCGTCTACACGTTCGTGTACAGGATGCTAGCACCTCCTGCTTCTGAAGAGGAAGAAGCCTCCAAGCTGCGAGAGTCTCTCCTTGTTGATCACAGCAGTAGCGAGGCAAGCGAAAGCGACAATGTTGTTCCATCCACGAACAGCAAAGTAAGTTGTCAACTGGACTCTTGTGTGAGATCTTCTCAACAGTGCCGGAAAGTGTCGCAGGCCGTGGCCCGAATCAAGCTGTGGCTACAGAGCGCGAGGATTGGAGACATACTTCAGCCACCGGTTGCAGCATCTGTACGTTGAGAGATCGTGTTTTGTTTTCTCCTTTCAGTCGCTGGAAACAGTGGATTTTGTGCAGCTTCTGGCACTGGTGTTTGGAGCAACGCCGTTCCTCAAGATGCTCTTCCTGGAAGACGATGCGGTGTTCTACTTCCTCTCCGACAGCCTCAACATCCTCGGGTAAGGCATGGCATTTTTTGTTTTTCTCGTAAGCTGCTTGCTCTTGTGGATCAGTGGAGCCATGATCCCATGCATCATGCTCGTCCTCGGAGGGAATCTCGTCAAAGGTTGGAGAGATACGAATCCGGAACTTTAGTTTACTCACTCGCCACTGTTGTTTCCAGGACCTGGAGCGTCCGAGCTGGGACTCAAGACGACGCTGGCCATCACGGTGGTGAGGCTTGTGCTGGTGCCTCCAATGGGCATTGCCGTGGTTTCACTCGCCGAGAAGCTCAACTTGCTACCACCCAACAACAAGATGTTCCGCTTCGTGCTGCTGCTCCAGCACTCGATGCCAACCTCCATTCTCGCAGGTGAGAAGGGGGATTTGGATGAATGGATCGAACTAACACTGCAAATCTTCGCAGGAGCGGTGGCCAGCCTCCAAGGTTACGCCGAGCAAGAAGCCTCCGCGATACTGTTTTGGGAGCACATTGCGTCCGTGGTCACCATGACCGGATGGTTGGGTGTCCACGTAAACTACCTCTCGTAACTTCTATTATCTTAATATTCAAAGCTGGGCGAATATGCCCCTCGTCCGTCCCATTCACATTGTCCGCGAATTATCTACGTGGCAGCCTTCTCTCCCTCCGATGCGCGCGGCCGCCACCGTCCATTTAACCCATCTCGTAGCGACCGCTCCCCCCCTCTCTCGGTCTCTCTCTTTTTCTTTCTCGCTCGCTCGCTCTCTCTCTTCCAGCTTTGAGAGGAGCCGAGGGGCAAGATGAGCAACTGGGCGATGTTCGACAGCATGCTGGCGGACACGGGCTACGCCGTCGCACAAGCGGAGCTCCCTCAACTCGCAGATCGAATGGAGCGGCTCGAGAGCCTCGGAGTCGAGCGCTTCGATCAGGACGCGGTCCACTCCAACCCATCCGACATCTCCGGCTGGATCGACAGCCTCATCGAGCAGCAAACCCGAGGTAGTCCGCTAGACTCGCAGCAAGATAACACCAGCAGCAGCCCCTCGCCGCCATCTCTGCTTATCTCTTGTCCTCACGACTCGAGCAGGATCGCCACCACCACCACCACCACCAACGCGCTGCCTCTCCACATGATCCACACCCAGCCCGATGACGAGCAGCAGGACGACCAAGAGGCAAACGGGCTCAAGCTCATCCATTTGCTCTTCGCTTGCGGGGCCTGCCTTGGCCGAGAGGATGACAAGTCTGCCAAGGCCGAGGAGTTTCTCGACCAGATCCGCATGCTGCTACTCTCCATGGGTGACAGCGCTGGAGCTATCGGCCGAGTGGCTGCTTACTTCGTCGAGGGTCTCTCTCGCCGGATCCTCTTTGGTTCTCTCCCAGCAGCGCAAGCCGAGGAAGCCGATCCAGCATTCCTCGAGAGCTTCTACCGGACCTGTCCCTTCCTCAAGTTCGGCCACTTCACCGCCAACCAGGCCATGTACGAGGAGCTCGAGGAGGAGCGGAGCGTGCACATCATCGACTTCGAGTTTGGGCTGGGTGTCCAGTGGCCGCCGCTCATCCAGATGCTGGCTATCCGGCCCGGGGGACCTCCGTCCCTCCGCTTGACCGCCATCGCCCCCGACCACCTCCAGTTCCAAGTCCACCACACTGGAAACAGGCTCGCTCGGTTCGCGGCTAGTATAGGCGTCGATCTCCAGTTCCAGACCGTCAACTCCATCGCCTCCGTCCTGGTCTACCCCGGCGAGGCTCTGGCTGTAAACTCCATGCTACACCTTCACCGCCTCGTTGACGATAGCCTCGACTCGGTCCTGGCATCGGTGAGACGCCTGTCTCCCAAGATCTTCACGCTGCTCGAGCAGGATGCCAGCCACAACAGCCCCGACTTCGACAACCGCTTCAACGAGTGCCTGCACTACTACTCCGCCATCTTCGATTCAATCTACCAGCAGTTCGGTCAAGTGGAGCAAGCGGTTCTCGAGTCCGAAGCCCACCTGGGCCGAGAGATCGTCAACATCCTTGCGTGCGAAGGCAGAGCCCGAGTCGAGAGGCACGAGCGGCTGGAGCAGTGGACTCGGCGGATGTCCGGCATGGGCTTCAAACCGAGGCACCTCGGGTCCAATGCTTACAACCAGGCTGCCACCTTCTTGACCATTTTCCCAGGGGGTGGTCACACCATCCAAGAGACTGCCGGTTGCCTGACGCTCGGTTGGCAGTCGCGTACCCTGTTTGCAGCCTCTGCCTGGCGCTGCTAAACGCAAAGCAATGCAACGCAACGCAGCACGAAGTCCTGTACACATTGTAAGTAGCTATATAAAAAGATTGACAATACCAAAACTTTTCTATGATTTTTCTCCCTTTTCTCTTACCTCGACACTTGTATTGGCAGCACGACTAGCAGCAGCCCGGGTGTTCGTGGCCGTGGTGGTGGTGATGCGAGCAGTGTCCATGTCCGTGCTCCTCGATTTCGTGACCGTGATGGTGATGGCCGTGCGAGTGATGGTGATGGTCGTGAGAACAGCACGAGTGCGAGTGCGAGTGGTCGTCGCTGTAAACTTCGTAAGACTGCTCGGCTTCGTCCAGTAGCGCTGAATCGGGCCTGGGAAACCGCAGCTTCAAGCGGAAGGCGTCGACTCCGTTGAGGTAGTACTTGTCCAGCCGCTTGGCTCGCAGGAAACCGAGATTTCCATACAACGCGAGTGCTCCTACGTTGCTCACTTCTGCCTCGAGCGCCACCTGAAAGAACAAAAAACTATGAGAATTGATAGTGATGCATAGTTGTCCATGATCCACGACACACACACACACACACAAAGAACAATTTAGAAAAAGAAAAGGAAGAGAAGTCGAAAGAGAAGTCTCCACTAACCTCGTCACACCCTGAGTCCCGCATCACCGATACGCACCTCGTCACAAGCTCCGTGGCTGGGAAAACCAAGAGAAAAAGAAGGAAGCATCGCGCTTGTTTTGCCAATTCTTTTGTTCTTACAAACCTATGCCTTTGCCTCGGTACGCCGTGATCACCACCAGCATTGCAATGTAACCGCGAAAGGAGTTTCTATGGTGCCCCATCTTGCACACTATAGTGCCCACGCATTTGTCCTTGTCGAAAGCCTACGATGAGACGATTTCCACGATCATATCGATAGCTTTGAAATTCTAGAGGCGAATTTCTTACCAGGTAACAGAGATTTGGCCACAAAGTGATGAAATACCGATACGTGAAGATGGAATAGGGCTCGCTCAGCTCGCTGTCGACGAGACTCATCACCAGCGGCAGCTGCTCCTCGCCTTTGTAGCTCTCGTAGCGAATCGCATCGTCCGCCATCGCGGGCAAGGCGCATGAACAAACCCTAAATCTTCTGTTCCCTCTTTTTTATTCCAAAAAATTTGGAGCTCACTTCTTTTGTCCTAGGCTACAAGACGAGCTTCTTGAAAATGAGCACGCATATCATGAAGACGCACAGTGCGATCAAAACCATGACGCAGAAAACCATGTCTCCCTTTTTTTGCGTTCTTTCGGCCTGTTCATTGACACAAGAAGAAGATCTTAGCGTTGCGAGAATGAAAAGCGAGAGATCCAACAAACCTGTTCTAGCTCTCGGACTCCTTGCTCGATCGAGGTGGCCACTTGTTGGACGTTGTAATCGATTCGATCGACTATAGTTCCCTGAGTTTTTTCAAAGAAAATAATCGATTGAGAACTTAAGCTCCTGATACCACACGCATACCTGATCGATTACAAGCGTGGAGAGGTCTTTCATGATCTGCGCGAGATCGTTCACAGACTCCATTATCTGCACAGACCAGCTGCATTAGAAAACTTTTTCCCAAACAACGCAATGAGTAGAGTACCTGTTGGACTTCCTTCTCCCGTTCCTCGCTCAGCACCTCGGCCTTCTTGAGCCGGGACATTTGTTGCTCGTTGAATCCCTGGAACAAGCCAGTCCACCTTTCAGTTTAGAGAAAAACCAGAAAGTAAACAAGCGCGAGAGCTTACCGGGTCATAAAACTCGTCCTCTTTTCCCCGCTCGTATGACGCAGTGATGGATGCACGCTGCAAAGCCAAGAAAGAAAGCACCAACACCGTGAGCTAAAATGCGATCCAGAGAGAAAAAAAAAGCACTGACTGACCTCTTGCTGCTGCTGCTGCTGCAAACGCTGTAAGTAGCCTTTCTGATGCTTGCGAAACTCAACGGACAACGTTTGGAGGTCGGTCGCCAGAGATCTCTGCTCACAGCAACACATGTTGGTCCACCAGAATCCAAGAAAAAGAAGAAAGAATACAAACCTGCACATTCACACGCAGCTTCATGTCTTCCGAGTGTCCTCGATCCTGAGAAAGCTGCCTCAGCTTTTGTTCACATTTCTTAAGCAGTCTGGTTATGTCTTGACTCATCAATTCTATGTTGTGTTCTTGGCCTTTACCTTTGATGTCATCAAACGTAGGCATGAGCGCTCGAGCATGAGCTTTGGCCAACTCTCCCATCTTGGACCGGATCTTCTGCATGTCGATTGCAACTTCTTCCGAGACATCAACCCAAGGCGGTGGCAATCCCACCGATACAACACCTTCCCTGGTGGAGATCAAGCACAACAAGAAAAGAAAAAAACGAAGAAGAAGTTTGAGTTGGATCGAGCAAAGAAATCCAGAAAAAAAATTCTACCTGGAGCCATCCACGTCCACCGTGCTGAGCCTGTTATATCCGGAAGCAGCCCCTCGCAGGAGGGGCGCATTGGAGAGCTCCACGACAGCGCCTTGTGCCGACGTGGACGCTGACGCTGGCCGCACTTGCTGTAGGGCAGTGCGGTACTTGCGAAACAGAGCTGTGCGATTGCGCGTGGCCATTGTCGAGCGGCAATCCCAAAACCCTAAAACACTGCCATCGCTCCAAAGATCTCCTGTGCGTGATCATCAGAGATCCAAGCTAATCCCCCACTCGCCCCCCTCCTCTACATCATTCTAGATTCTAGGTGAGTAGTCCCTCGCGAAGCCCTAGCGGAAGATCTCCCCACTCTCCCACCCTACCAGATCCGACGAGAGGGACACCGCAGCTAGCTCCGCATTCTCGCGACCTCAAGCTTTAGGGCTCGCGGGTGACGTGGCGATGACGCGGGATCCAGGTCACCATACGTGTCCACGTCGCGTAACAAAAAGGGAAATAGCGTGGGCTTGTCAAGTAGCATTCGCGCTTTGCACAAGTTCCATGTTGCCACGGTGGGTGTGATATTTTCCTAT